GAAAACCGCATTAATTAAATAAAATGAAATTACTTTAAATAGACCCCTCCTGACAGTTACATGAGGTTCAGCTGGGAGGAAAACTTTGGACCCACAGCATATGCTTTTGCCTTTTGAGCTAATTAAATAATTGACAGCTGTGGAAGACTGTCCATTTACAAAGGTCATCTGCAATGAGGCAGCAACACAATTAACACGAGCAGCAAAAAGTAACTCAAGATAAAACAGGAAATGTCAGAGAGTGCTTAAATAGTAGAGATGTTTTCAAATCAACTGAGCCAGATGAATTCCTTCCAAGGTAAATATAAAACTGGTGAAAGCAAGCTCAGGAGTATTAATAATTTCCCTTGGAAAGATGTGTGAGATTACAAACATAACATCTACTTTAAAAAAGGATGAGAGAGTGCAAAGATGTCAGGGAGTTATACACTATTTGTGTTTCAGATGCTGGAAAGTAGCACAGCAAATAATTAAACCTTTGATAGGTGCTCAGAAAATAATAAGTAAAAAAAAAATGAGGATTTTTTTAAAGGACAAATGGTGTTAAATAATACCACACCATTTGGGTTTTGTTTGGTTTTTGTTTGGTTGGTTGGTGTTTTGTTTTTGCTTTGTTTTATTTTGTTTTTAATTTGGAGAGAGAGAAGGGACCTTTCTAGATAGGAATTATTTACCTTGATTTTAATGAGGCTTTGATGCTGGTTTAAATTACATGCTCATATGGAGGCTGGGAAGTGTTGTATATTTTGGTGTATGATAAAAGAGCTGCAAAAGCAGCTAGAATGATATATCTAGAGCAGTGTAGAGTTATATCTAGAGTGTCTAGTGGTTATTTGCAGAGGTGGCCATCTTAGGCTGAACACTGTTCTTTCATGATGTGGCTGAAGACAAAATGGTGCTTAAGAAATCTGGAAGTGTCACCAAAGTGAGGGGGATGGTAAGCACAATGACTGAGAAGATTAGAACTAAAAAAAAAATTATAATTTCAAATTTCATGAATGGACTGAATCAGGAAAGAAACCAGGATTCAACCTCTTAGACAAATGTGTCATTCAGTTCATCAAGGATAACAAATAGCAGGTGGAAGAACTACTGGCTGGGCAGTCATTCTGCAGGACAGTACGTATGTGCAACAAAAGACCATGATTATCAACTGGGACTTGTGTACAAAGGGTAAATATAATATGGAGAAAAGGGGTTGTAAACACAGTTTGCTTGCTTTCCCCCTCTGTGCCCCTTGATGAGGGTGGTGTATGACATCCAGTGAAATTTTTCTTTCTGCCTGAGCAACGTGTAGTCACTGCATAGTCTGGAAAAGAGAAAGGGAGTGGTTGGAGGGAAAGAGGAAGCTGGAAATTCAGCAGCTGGGGTGGGGGACAGTGAGGAGGAAAAGCAACAGTGATGTTCTTTTCAAAGAGGAACTATAAACACTGAGCCTCAGAGTATCTCAGCTCCATGCAGAAGAATTTGTGGAACTATTTCTCCTTTGTGGTGCTGTAGGATTATGAATTCTGGGTGTGCTACTTTGAAGTAGCTCGTGTGTCAGCTGTGATCCACCCATTTGTCACTGTTCAGGAGCCCCTCAGTTGGAATGTGCCTGGCAGGATGCACCAATATACTCTCCTAACTCATTACCTCTTGTTATGTTTTTCTTTTTTTGTTTTCAAGCAAGGTTGGATGATGTGATATAACCCTATTTAGCTTTCTAATTTTCCTACTGTAGAGATTTCTTTGTTTCCTAATAGACTAATTTCCTTCCATTGCATGAGCTAAGCTGAAAATGGACAGAGCAGGCAGATGAATAGATGGGAGCTGTTAAACCCCCTGAAGGATTTTTTTAAAATTATTTTTCACTTTATTAGAGGCACAGTTCTGTAGTGTGTCAAATGTTCATGAGTTACAGACAGAGGATAAGCCCTGGGCACTTACAGCTGATCCTCAAAGTCAAAGACCAGTTTTGCTTTTGAGAGTGGAACCAGTTTGAGATCTTTTCCCTGCGGGCGTATTTCACAGAAACAACTAAGGAAAGACTGTTTGTTAGGCTTGCATCCCTTGGGAAAGACCATCAGGAATCACTAAACAGGCATAATAAATACTAGTGTTGGTCTGCACCACAGTTTTGGCATATGCTTGCAAGCAGGTGTTCGGAAAGACCTCTTGGGAGAAGACAACTGTGAGCACCTCATGAAACCCAGTGCAGGAAGATGCTAACAGATGTGCTTCCAAGCTTTGTTTTGCCTTATTTGGGGTGCCAATTTCCCATCTACTTTGTCTTCCAGCTTGCTGCCAAGCTTGTACTGATGGAAATACAAAGTGTCAAAGTGTCCTTGCCCTGCTTTGTTTATCTCTGCAGGAAATTCCTAAGTTTGCAGTTAGTGCCCACTTTTATGTATGAACCCAGGCAAAGAGTACGTAATGATTGCAAACTTAAAACTATTTTTCTGTAGAAAGTTCTACTTCGCGTACCTCCTTCAATAAAACTATTGGGCAAGATTCCATATGGCTATGGTATTCTTCTTTCCACCAGGCGTTTATCCAAAGTTTTACCCTGTGGGTAAAGAAGGAGGAAGGCCAAGTCATCAGTCTACTTTTACATCAAAGCCATTCACATTTGCTCAGAGCTGCCATAAGCAGCTGGGTCTCAGCTATAACTGTCTGGATAATACATTTCTACTTGTAAAAAAATCCTCCAAAAATGGGGAACAATTTTCCTTGATGCCTTGTAAAGGCATTGAGAGAAGTTAAACACAAGACAAACCCTTCATTACTGCTTCCCAAGAGCTTGCTTATTTCATTCATCCAGGCTTGTTTTTTGAGGGAGACATAATCCAAAAAGAAGTGAGCAGAGCAATGAGTGAGAACCTAACTGGAACTGAGGTCTGATTCACTTTGGTGTAAATGAGATTACAGCTGATCACTCTGGATCCTGAGTCCTCTGAGATATCACACATTTATCATTTATACCCAGAGACTGGCATTCTGTAAAATGGAAATGGTCAATTAATCACAAGCATCTTTTGGCAAGCTTTTGCAAGCAAAAACTTCAAATCTTCATCCAGGCTAACCAAGCTCCAGTGACCCCAGATGGAGCTGATTAGTTAGATCTGGTGATTGCCTATAAGGGAGCTCTGTGCAGACTCGCAAAGGAAAAAGGAAGTGGGGATTAAGGTTTGTATCAGGAATGATTAGATAGTTTTTCCTTTGAATGGTGGAAACAGCTCTGAGGAAATCTGACAGCATGAAGGTGCGAAGGGGGAATGTTTGAGTTTATTGTTTGTGTGTTTTGCCAGAGAGCTAAAAGCCCTAATTAATGTCAGACTGAGAGTTAAAGGATAGGAGCATCACAGATGGAGTTTGATGGTTACAAGTATCTGCAGTTTCGCTCAGACTTTGTAAAGCAACAGGGTGCTGGTACCTGGGCTGGGCATGCAAACCTCCTGCAAAGCAGAGGTTCCCACTTCTGGCCCAAATTGGATTTCCTTGAATAATGTTTGCAATTACTGCTCTAGCTGTGAGAGTTTGGACCAAAGTCTGGGATTCAGCTTTTGTGTCAAATCTAGGATTCAGAGAGGACTATGAAAGGGTTTGTGTCAATATTCCATGTCAGCACGTGGGGCAGCATAAAAATAAAATGTTCATTGATTATGATGCCTTGCAAAGCACTTTTCTGCTGCTGTGTGAAAAGCCACTGCTGATGAAATTGATCAATTCTTGTTTCTCTGTTCTTCCCTCTTCTGTGTGTGTGAGCACATCTGTGTCTCTTGCCTAGACTGCAAGCTATGCTGGAAATCAGTTGGACTGGGGTTTTCCTTGATTGTGAGCCTAAGGGAGGGCTTTTGGACTAAGATAACATCAGGAATAATAATGATAGTAAGCAGACCTGATTTTCTTGGCTGATTAATCTGAAATCTCCTTAGAGACATTCAGGAAGACAATGCATGATTTTCTCTGGCAGTAGCTGACTGGGTGTTTTTGTCTACTGGTTTCCTCTAAAACGTTTTTCATGTTGCCAAGCTGCTCTGTTTCTTTGATATGCAAAGCACTTTGAAGAGAGAATCCCTCAATTACCAATATTCCCAAAGCATGGCAATGTAGTAAGGAGGGAAAGGAGATTTTTGTCTTCAGACATCTCTCAATATAAAAAGGAAACACTTGTGTTTGCAGGGTTGTTCTTCTGGTACAAGGTTTTTGAAGTGTTTGTGTGAGATTTACTCTTCTGTAGCTATAGTAGTATCACTACTTTGTTCTCTGTTTTGAGAATACTAATGGAAAATAATGTGGGTTTTGAGATATATCTAGAAATGAAAGAACACTGGTAATAATACCCTCAAAGGGCATGGGGAAGGTAATGCAGAACAAGAAGTACTCAATATATCTGATGAAATATTTGCTATTCTCATACATCTCTGATAATTTAATATCCAACAAGCACCAAGATATACATGATATAACATGCATTATACTTGGACTTTTTAGAGTGAATGGGTTCCAGTTTAATCAAACAGCCTGGATGTAATGTGGTTCACAAATTCTCTCTGTTGTTCATGGTGGGGGAAATCTACTGTTTAATGAAACAGTCTTGACCTGCTGGTGATTCCTGGGCAGAATGCAACTTGGGAGGCGCTTCCAGCCAGCCCAAAGCCTTGTCCTGGCGGCGATGGAATGGCTGCTCCCCCAGCAGGCTGTGTCCTGTGGGACTCTGCAGTGCCGTGAGGAGGAGGCTGGAGAGCCCTGGGGACAGGCCCTGTGGGATGTTTGTTGTGCTGGCTTGGGCTGGTGTAGAGTGAATTATCTTCACAGCGGCTGGTATGGGGTTGTGCTTTGGATTTGTTCTGAGCAGAGGTTGACAACACAGAGATGTTTTTGCTGTTGCTGGGCAGGGCTCACACAGAGCCAAGGCCTTTCCTGCTTTTTGTACTGCCAAGGGGGGGCCCTTCCCGTGTCCCGCCGCCAGGCGGCGCTGCCCCCCCCCCGCGGAACGCGAGGCGCCGCCGCCGTGTTCCGGGCGGAGCGCTGAGTGCGCGCACCGCGCCCCGCAGCAGCGCCATGGCCCCCGGCGGCAAGGTACGGATGGGATGGGATGGGATGGGATGGGATGGGATGGGGAACGGGGGGCGCCTGGAACACCGTCCCTCACTCCGGTGACTCCTCCCCGGGCCGGCCTCCGAGCTGCCGGTGCAAAGCTGAGCAGCTGCAAGGGAGCGCGGTGTTTTCCCGCAGCAGTGATTGCCATGGCGCTTGCTAAAGTAACAGTGGAATTGGGTTTGCCCCCTTGAAAATGCGGTTTGCGCGCCTGTTATGTTTTAAGGAGCCGTGTTGGTGAAAGCTGCGTTGAGGCCTCTTCTGATACGGGGCAGTTCAGTACCAGTTAAACAGAGGGTTTGTGTGTGTTTAACGCAGGTGTGCTGCTGTAGCCGTCTCTGTCTTTTAATAACTCTTTATTATAACTACTTCGGCGCCGAGAGATCAGAGATAAAGGCAGGTTTGTTCCATGTCCGCCGTTATGGGAGCTTGGGCGAAGGGGGTTGGTTCGGCTCAGGAGTGACAGTGTTGTGCTACAGACACACGTGCTGAGCATCTTAAAAGTGTCAGCTGAACGCGGCATTGCCGGTGCTCGGAGGTGAGAAGCGCAGAGGTTATAACAGATACGGAGATGTACAGAGGAGGATTACCAATAGAGGACCTGCCCCCCTCCCTTCCTCTTCCTGACAGAAGGAGGATTCCACGTACCCGCATGGGCACCGAGCTGGGAGTTTGCTGCCTCCCAGAAGAGCATGTCAGCACTTGCCGCTTGATTGTCTTTTGTAAGCAAAACAGCAGCTCTTCACTCCTGCACTGGTTTTGGTTTCTTTGCTGTCTTCTTGCCAGCTGTGAAGGAAATTTTACCTGTTTTGGACAACAGGATTGATTCAGCTGCCAGCCACTGTGTGTCCTGAGGCAGGACAGCAACAAAACAGGGCTCTGCAGTTGCTGATAGAGTAATTCCCCAGGCTGGCAGGTAAGCAGCAACAAGGCTCTTGTGAGAGTGAAGTGCAGCCTCAGTTACAGCCTCTGCTCCACTCTGAGCTTCTGCAGAGCTAGCTGACACCAGAGACATTCATTCCTGGCTCCCAGACAGGCCACTGGTGGAGGCAGAACGAGGAACAGAGTGCCAAGACTGAGTATAACCTCCTGGTCAACTCAGGCTCCTCAGCCTTCTTTCTTTCTTTCTCTTTTCCTTCTTCCTGTTCTCAGAGGACGCAGGGAGTTAAACCAGTGTTTGTTACGCTGACAGGGGAGGTGCACAATGTATCGTGTTCTTTTGGCTGATGCTTGAAAAGGTACTTGTAATTGCTTGCAAGGCCGTATGCAGAACAACTTAGACCAATACCTTTTTTTTATGTTCATTCCTTTTGCTTTGCAAAAGCAGACTGTGCATCTTGTGTCACTTCACAGTCTTCTAATTTATTGTCCACGTCGTTTTGGTAGCTTCACTTCTTACAGAATTGGATATATTTTGTATTTTAAAAGAAGGTGACTGGTTCCAGTCTAAGTAATACCCAACTTTCCTGTGTTCTGGCAAACAGTAATTTTTTGCAGGCAGTGTAATCTAAGCCACTGGCAGCCCACGAAGCAAGATTTTGTATGTTTAGGGAACCTTGGTTTAATCAGTGACAATAAATTTGAGCTGACCTGGGTGGTGCTGGACATAATTTTGCTGAATTCCTCTTGCAGCTGTATTCAGATGGAGGATAAAATTATTCAGATTAATCAGGGTAAGTGGAGTCTGTGGAAGAACTTTAGAGGAACTTTGCAAGACTTGAACAAGAGAAGTTACAAGAAGCAATTTTACTGTATTCATATACTAGTGTATAAATCAATTTAGGGGAAGACTTGTGCAGTGTTATGTGTAAATCAGTTAAAGTGATGATCAGAAATGCAAAAACATAGGCTAGCTTGGGGGATTTAAACCCATAAATTAAAATTGGAATTCATCCTTTGCAATTTTCAATTAAAATATCTCTGTTTAATTTCCTAGTGTAGAAGAGCCCTCAGATCCCTAATACATTTGTGGGGTTGTACAGAAATTGCCCCCTTGACAGATTGTGTAAAGTAGGATTTTTTTGGTATTTTCCCCTGGAATGTCTGGAACATGGTACAGGATTAAATAAGTTTCTGAACAATGCAGTTATACCAGTTCTGCCTTCCACCATTGTATCATATTAAGAGTTACTGTAAAAGAAACCAGTAGTGATACAGTTTGATTTTCAGGTTTTTTATGTACCCTTTTAACATTTTAAGTAATTATGTTTATATTGGCCCTTTTTCATTCTTATTCAGTGTTGTCTTTCCTTTCCAGGTGGCAACAGTGCTGTGCCTGGATGTGGGCTGTACAATGAGCAATTCTTCCCCTGGTGAAGAGTCCTCACTTGAGCAAGCCAAGAAGATTATGACAAAGTTTGTGCAACGACAGGTATGTGTGACTCCATGTGTGTAAAAAAAACTGTTAAAAAGGGAGGAGAGGCAATAGCATCAATGAAATATTTTCCTCATTTACTAGTAATTGAAATAAATGAGAAATGATTAAGACTTAATCTGTTTTTATGCAGGAGTAACAGTGCTCTTTGTTTCAGCTTTGTTTTTTGTGCATGATTTTGGATTGGTCACTCTTTTTATTCAGGGCATTGGAAACTTTTAGGGAAAACAACTGCTCCTCTCTCTCATTCCTGATACAACATTCCTAATTTTCAGCATTCCTAATCCCACCCTGCAGACTCATTTAATGGACCGAGTCAGCCAATTTTACTTGTTTTTCCTAGTTCTCCTCATGTCAATATATTAGTTTAATTATATCTCCCCTTAGTGAACTCCCTGTAAGATGGCATTTTGAGAGAATAGCATTGAAGTAAGGAAAAGTAAATCCCTTGTATTTGATATTAGTTCATGTTGCTGGAATGTGCCTCGTATAGTTGTGAATAAATCCACCTGTGTTTTTATACCTGTTTTTTTGTTTTCTGTGTCTCCAGGTTTTCTCTGAGAGTAAAGATGAGGTCGCTGTAGTTTTGTTTGGCACTAATGGTACTAGGAATGGCCTTGCCAGTGGGGACCAATACCAAAACATTACTGTACATAGGTCACTAATGCTGCCAGATTTTGATCTGCTGGAAGACATTCAAGATGTGATTAAAGGAGGCTCTGAACAAGCAGACTGTATCCTTTTGCTGTAGAACACTTCTTGAACAGACTCAGCTATGGAGGAGACAGGAGGCCAGCATTGTGAAATGGGCTCAGATTTGCCTCCCAAGTTTTAACTACTATCAAGAGTTAAGCTAATTTGTGGCTGTAAGTTTGTCCAAAAGCAGATTAGCTGCTTTTTGACATTCTTTTGGGCTAGCAGATGGAGTCTTGGCCTTTGGGAATAATTGCTTTTATGAAGTGTTCTGCTAATTAAGGAGAACAAAGATAATATCATTTTAGGCCTCAAATAAGCCATGTGTTTTTAAAAATAGCATTGCAGAATTTGGTTTATGCTTTTTAATCAAATAAAAATATTATTTATGCAATGTATCAGCACAAGTACCAGAAACCAGACTGTCGTGGTTTAAGCCCATCTGGCAGCTCAGCCCCACGCAGCCACTTGCTCACTCCCCACCAGCAGGATGGGAAGAGAATTGGAAGAGTGAAAGCTGGAAAACCTGTGGGTTGAGATCAAACCAGGTTAATAGGTAAAATAAAAGCTATGCGTGCAAGCAGAGTAAAACAAGGAATTCATTCACTGCTTCCCGTGAGCAGTTCAACCGTGTCCAGGAACACAGGGCTCCATCAGACCTTAGACCTGGGAAGACAAACACAAGAACTCTGAATGTCCTCCCTTCCTCCTTCTTTCTCCAGCTTTATGTGCTGAGCATGATACCGTGTGGTGTGGGATATCCCTTTGGTCAGTTGGGGTCAGCTGTCCTGGCTGTGTCTCCTCTCCACTTCTTGTGTACCCCCAAGCCTCCTCCCTCGCAGTGTGGTACAAGAACCAGAAAAAGCCTTTGCTCTGTGCAAACACTGCTCAGCAGTAACTAAAATATCTCTATGTTATCATTGCTGTTTCCAGCACAAATCCAAAACACAGCCCCATACCAATTACTGTGAAGAAAATTAGCTCTACCCCAGACAAAGCAGAATAGAGATTTATCAGATTGATTAACATATAAAATACTTCTGACATTACCAAAATCACTTCCTGTTTTGAATGTTGTTCATATTTGAATGTATTCTGTTGTTAGTTGCACGAGGTGTAGAGTTTTAAAAGAAGGTGATTTATGTAGTGTTCCTTTGTGTGTGTCATGAGCATTACAGTTCAGTTTCCTGGGTTGTCTTCCCTTTTTCTGGCCATAAAATGATTACTGTGAGCTCCACTCAGGTAGTCAGAGCTGTTTCAGAGAGGTGTGCAGTCAGTCAACTGGCTCACATGTTCCCAGGTGTGATGAGGAGGAAGCCATCAAGAGATTGTCAGACACAGGTGGTCTGAAGGAAAACTTGCAGGAGAAATTGGTATCATATATTTGTTGGTCGATTCAAAGGAATTTTCTGAAGATTATATTGTCCTTCATTGGACTTGAGCCTCTCATTGACAGTTAAAGGACTGGGATCTGAAGCAGTCTTTTTACTGTTCCAGCAGATAAATGAGGCAGAAATAAGATCGCAAAACAGACAAGTTATATAGAAACCTCTTGCACAGTAGTTATTTTAAAAGTTTCTCAGAAGAGTGTTCCTCAGCTAAAATGCACGTTTGTCAGTGTTTGGGAGGGAGTGAAAACATTAAATTGTTTAAAAAAAAAACCCCACTTGTGACATGGTTCATGTTCTAAATGATATTTTTCTTAAATTTGCTTAGTTCTGGATGCAATTATTGTGTGTATGGACTTGCTTCAGAAGGAAACAATGTGAGTATGTAACTCAAAGCCTTTTACACAATTCTGACTGCACTTTGAAGCTGATTTGATCGGATTGCCAATATTACATATCCAGTATGTGTAAATATGGAAAGTGCTTTTTTTAAAGTACCAAACATTAAAAATAAACAGCACGCTAAAGGAGTCTATCTCTGGAGTCCTCATGAGACATCTGACTTCTCCAGACAATCTGAGAGCTTTCTGAGGCAACCGGTAACTTTGTAGTACAGTCATGAGACTGTTCATGCCATTATAGAAGGCACAAAGGCTTTACTTTCTGTCACATTCTTTGTGATCTGTTTTCAAAAAGCATTAATTCAGATGTTAAAATGCTTAGGAAAGGGCTATCATATTTATGTTGTGTATGGTACAAATTAAACAAGAAAGGTGACTTTGTTCAGCCTAGCATTTTAAAGCTTGTTGGAGGTAAGGTTTAACTTTGTAGATATGCAGACTATGGGAAATGAACTTGTAGGATGAAATACCGTTTAAGGTGAGGAAAAATATTGAGACAAGTGTTACAAAGTTGTCAGTGAATGTGTTTAGCTGGAAATGTGTTTCTAACACTCAGCGAACTAGTGGTCCAGGGAAGGGAAGGTGACTGTACTTCCTCTCAAAGCAGAGCTTGAACATGTTGCTAAAAAGGTTATATGATCTAACTGTGAGTGCAGAAGATGAGACTTAGTGATGCAATTTGTATTTTTGTGAATAAGATCTAATCAGTGTGGAAAGCTATATGAATTTAATGGTTAAAACTGAGTTGTGAATTAAAACCACTGTATTTATGTATTAAATATCTATGGAGCAACTGCTTCTGTTGTTTTGTAGGAAGGTGCCTGTATATGCTAAAACCTTTAATCTGGAGTTTGCCTTCAGTTGAGAAAATACTGTAGGGTAAAAATTCGAGGAAATCACCCTTATGCAAGAATATGCAGGTCTCAGCTGTGTCACTTTAACTGAATTTTGTTCTGTCACTGGCAGACCTTCCTGATGTGTATTGTTACTACTTCTTAGTACATTAAGTGATCTTGAAAGTCCCTGTTATCCAATGAATCTACTGAATTAGAGTACTGAAATGGAATCCCCACCAGCAGCAGTCATTTAAAATACATTTTCACAAGAACATACTTACAGCTGCAAAGGAAATATCCAGTGTAACCAATAAGAAACCTAACATATTTTGTTAGCATTTTATCTACATTGGTGAAAATTGGCAGAATTCCACTTGTTTAGATGGAGTTAGCGATTTATACAGTCACAGAGCTGGAGTCCTCAATTTTAGAGGGTAGGAGGGAATAGAGGCAATCATATAAAGATAAAAATCCTCTCATAAATACGATAACCTATGGTAGAATAGCTACTACCAAGTAGGTTTATTTGTTTGGGTTTCTTTCTATTAGAAGTTAATTACTTTGGTAAAGTATCAGTTTTGAAAGGAAATATTTAGCAAAAGGCCTTATAGATAATATTTTCAATATATGTATTTTTTCTCGTACTTTAAGAGGAAAGAAATATGAGAAGAGACACATTGAACTATTTACAGACCTTAGTAGTCCTGTCAGTGAGGATCAGCTGGATATTATCATTGCTAACTTGAAGAAAACAGGAACTTCACTTCAGTTCTTGTAAGTATGAAAGTGGCTGTTACACACGATGCCATTTCTTTAAAGGGACACTGTTATTCTTTCTTTATAATGATCTTGAAACAGCTGGTGGTCTATTGGTGAATGGTTTCTGTAGAAGTGTACTAGTAAGTAATGTGATTATTATAAGTACTTATTTGATACATGCCATGAAATCCAGTTCTGGACCAAGTCCTCTTGATTAAGTGACGTGCAAATAAATGTGAAGATGATGGCTTCTTCTCCACTTATGCTTATAGCTTAGAGCCACAGTCTAAAATGAGAGACAAAAGATCTATATAAGCAGAGAAAGGGGAAACAATGAGCCAGAAATAGCCTCAGAAACAGTGGGTTTATCACAGCAACAGCCTAGATCCTTTTAGGTGAGGAATTTACTGGCAAAAAATAATGAGGTTGTGTTGCAGATATTTATAGCCTGATTCTGGTGTCAGTGGAAGAGCAAGTCTGAAGAGAGGGGTTATATTCACAGCAATGGGCTTGGAAAATGGAAACAATGTCTTACATGTTATAACAGGAGTCCCGTGATTGTCATGGTATGGGCATTGATCTGAAGATTCAGTGTTTGTGCTGAGATCTGTATTAGCTGTTGCATGTGATGGTAACATAGGAAGCCACTGGCCTTCTGGAGAAATTTATTTAAAAGCAAAACTCTGTGAATGTTAATGTTTGCTATTTATAACAAATAATTTCACAGGAGAAAGTTAAAGCTGTAGTTTTACTTCTGGCCATTTTAGTATTTACTTTTACCTAGATCCAGCATTCTGTAAAGAAGAATGTTTGAACTTAATAAATTCATTGAAACTATTTACCAACCCCTCTGCAAGATAACAGAGAGATTAAGTAGGAAAACATGACTGAAAATCATGGACTGGTTGTCCACAAAAGATCTTTTTTTGCCTATGTTTAGGGGAGGCCGAAAGTAAAAATGTCAGGTTCTGTCGACACAGCAAAAGCAGGTATGCTTGTAATGTGCCTTGACATGACCCTCCTGCTTATTTGAGCCGTTGTTGGCACTGGAGGTGCAACACCATGAACCCTCCAGCCAGTCAGAGTACATCTTTTGGAGACCTGATATTTAGCTCCTGCTTCCTTGTTTCCTTACCTGTTTGCTGTGCAGGCTGACACAGATGCTGATACCACAAGTTAATGTTGTGGGTTTCTTTCTGTGAGATTTCTGATACATCTTTACATTTTCTTTGTAACGTAGCAAAGAAAAAGGCCCTGGGCTAAGAGAAACTCAAGGGAAATGTTGCTGTTACAGCATTGGCTGCAGATTTACACGCTGTCTCCCAGCCACACGAGTAAAGGTTGATTTGAGAAATATATGTACAAATGTAAAATATTTGAGGTACTAGTTTAAAAATAATTTCTTGCTGAATCTTGTTGTTTTGTTATAGCCCATGCTTCCCTCTCTTAGGCCCTGTTTATAGATTAGGCTGTAACTTATGGCAGATAGTTGTTTTTCCTCCCTGTTATCAGGTGCCAGGCACACACTGAGCACTGTGTAGGGTTGGGTATCATGCAGTTCTCATCACAGTAGTCTCTAGGCATTGTATAGTGAAAGTAGCCTAACTTTTACGTATCAAAGGTTTGAAACTATTTGCTGTTGTCATAATAGCTTTAAAATACAGTTTCTCTGTTTATCAGTGGATACTGCTTCCTAAAAAGGTACCTAACACTTGGCTGAAGCTTGATCTTTAATTTTACTCAATGTGACATTATTGTGTGTATTGTTAACTCTGCTTATTATATATTTCTTAATGGATAAGTTTAGTGAGGACTAATGAGGTGGAAGTATGGTAAGGATCTGTAGGCTGCTTTTTTGAAAACATAATACAGTAGTAAAGTTATTTTACTTTGTGGAAACATGGTAAAAGGCATCGTGGTTCATTCAAAATTGAATCAGATAAAAGACTTGAAAAATCTGCAGGTGTTATGAGGCGCACAGAGTAGAGGATCTTGCACATCTTTCTTTTCTGTGTTTATTATACCTGGTTAACTCTCCTATATTTTGAAGAGCAGCAAAATCATTTTATCTATAATCCCTGGCTACATTTTTAAGTCTGATTCATGAAGTACAGGAAAATGTGTCATCTTCAGTCAGAAATTCACCAAGTGTTGTAAGCTATTAAAATCTCAAAGAGTAGCATTTAATGCAGAAATACCCAATAGCCTCACTGCAGAGAACGTCCCATTTGCTGACATTTGGAGCCAATACAGAATCATAGGCCTGGAATGGCCTTTAACAAGTCATCTAGAGCAGTCCTCTACTTCAGACTGGGCCAGGTGTATGCATGTCATTGCTGACCAGTGTTTGTCTAATCTTCTGGAAAAGATTTACCGTGAGAGTGGAGACTGTATTCTCTCCTCAGGCAGTTGGTTTTAGAGATTATAGTTTGAAATGCCTTTATGAGGTTTTTGAATATCTGACCTGACTCCATGATGTGACTGGAGTGCAGGCTGAATATGAAGAACTCATTGTTTCCTTCTTCTCTGCAACAGCCTTTTATACATAAGGCTTTCTTGCCATCTGATTCACTTCTCTGTGGGCTTTATTTTGTTGAATCTTTTTTCACAGATCTTGGTTTTTAATCAACATTAACTTTACTATCTGATTTATTCCTGTATGTGGATGTCTTTATTGATGCATGATACCCAGAAATGGTGCATCACTCTGGTCAAGATGTTACCAATGCCAATTAGACCCAAAACACTACTTCATTTGTTTTCCAAGCCATGTGGCTCTTTATACATCTGACTGCAGCTAAATAGAATTATTTATCCTTATAAAAATTTTGTTTTGAGTGGTTATTTTAATAAAGAAAAAATCAAACTAACTGCTTCTGCTTGTGTTCTTAGTCTGCCATTTCAAGTGGTTATTGATGATGGAAGTGGAGATAAAATGGCCAGTGTACATTCCCATATGCACAGAAACTCATTTCCAATAAAGGGTTTAACTGAACAACAGAAACAAGGTATTGATGTGGTGAGGAAACTCATGCATACTTTGGATGAAGAAGGAGGGCTGGAAGAAATTTATACTTTCAGGTAAACTTGGCTAATCCTATTTATTGTATTATAAATTTACTTTCTGGTTTCTTCTCTGAAAGATGAAATTAATTAAGTAATCAGTGCCTTGACTTACTGTTTCAGTTAAGTCAGTGAATTTTATAACTTATTGTACACTTAGTCCCTTCCATACAGCTTCTTAAGTAGCTTTAGAATAAGTAGAAGAGCTTACAGATTTCAGAGGAAAATGAATTTTCTGTATCTATATTTAAAGAAAAAGAAATGGTTTTCTTCCATCTTTAGTGTTGGAAGATTTTGGAGGTAATGTTTCTGTATATGACATTTCAAAAACATGAAGGAGTTATGGAAGGAGATGAAATTTGTGACGTAGTACAGCTAGCACATTTGCATTTAATGGTAGCTTGTGTTCCTTGATCTCAGACTTCTTTTAGCTCACTGGTTTGATAAACTCCCACAAATGTTTTGAGTAATGTTGTTTGTTGAATCCTGCGCTCTAACCACAGTCAACTGTGACAATGTATTTTTTCAGCAGCATTCCTAATGCAAGGATTGAAAGACAGTTTTTCACTTCTTGTTTCCCCAGTGAAAGAATAAAAATTTATGTGTGTCTCTGAAAAACTGTAGCTAATGATATATCCAAGACTTTTCCACATAGGTGTTGTCTCACTTGGGCAACAGGCAAAATGCATCTACATGCCTTATTGAAGTCTGATCTTACTGACTTAGTTTCTTTTCTGCAGTTATGAAGTGTGGTCTTTTAGACCACAGGAAACTCAGCAGACCATAACTGTAATGTGATTGTCCAGTGTAATTTTTATATAAGGATGGTACCTGTAGGTTTTCATACTGTTATTCATCTTTTTATTTGTGGGGTTTCCTTTCCTCGTCCAGCTCAGCTGGATGGGCTTTGTACCTCAGCAGCCAGTTAAACTGCTACTTGAGTGTTACTGTGCAACAGTGAAGAAATATATATCACTGTATATGTGTTCCATACTAGTCAAGAGAGCAATCTGAGTCTCTAGAAAAAAGCAGGCTTTGTCATTGCATCAAAAGACTGCACAGAAAATTGGTATCTTTCCTGGACTGTTTATCCTTTAGGATAATCCATATGCATGAAGCTGCCATGTGGCTTGGCCTCTTCTTTATACTTTTTTTATCCCAGGCTGTTGCTGCTGTAAAAGCTGTTTTTGTGCCATACTTTCAGGGAAAATCCAAAACCTCTGAATAAATAGGCATTTGGCTAATAGATTAAAGCTTTAGTTGAAAAAGTTGTTAAGGAATATGTGAGGGTTTAGATGTAATTAAGTTGCTTATCAAGCTTTAAGAGACCAGCTTTGCAAATCTGTCATGATAATTGACCAACTCAGATACACTCTCCATTTTCCAAGAGTTATTATTCCTGCTGGTAAAAATATTTCAACACTTGTAAAAATAAATTAGCTATACCAGGAAAGCAAGTGAGGAAGTTTTGTTGAGATTTTTTTAAGTTGTGATATTCTGGACAGGAATATCCTGTGCCTCTAGGGGAGGGGATTGGAGAGCACAGGACAAGGGACATGTTCTTAAAATACAAGTTGAAATGTACAGTTACTAGAGTTTGATTTTATGAGCTGTCTTTGATAACAGGCAGCATTTTTCTTCTATAAGAAATTAAAGGATGGAGTTAAGGAATTGAGTTTAAATTACATTTTTAGGCATTTGGCACTTACGTATTTGATTTTCACATTTGTCCTGGAATCTGTGTGTTGCAGTACTTTTAATGATGTAGTAACAGATTGTTTTTTAAAATCCTATATTGGCATCTTTACTAGGAAAAAAAAAATCCTCCCTTCCTTTCTCTAAGAAAAAAAATAAAAGTGTTGATCTCATTATAAAAATCCCAGTGCATTTTCCCCTTTCATTGTGCTTCTGTGCTTCTGTTAGAATTAAAAAAAAAACCCGGCTCATCCTAAGAAACCTGAAAAGTAGAATGAATTCTGTACTGGTGTTTTTAGCAGTTGATCTTGATTTCTGCCAGACAAGTGCTTTAAGCAAGAGAGAGGTAGATTTAGGGTTTTATCATAATGTGAAAAAAGATGAGGTCAGCATTGTTTTATCTGTGCTTATCATGCAATAGAAAAATTTGAGAGCTTTCTCTGTGTTGGAATTTTACAGCAAAATAGCTAGTACAGTTTGTATGAGCTGAAAGCTGTTCTGGTGTGTCAACCTATTTGAATTCACAATGATATATTATAAATTACTGTGAAATTTTAATTGTTGGACTCCATTGCTTAAAGTTGTGGAATTAAGTTAACACTTTCTAATATAAAATCATTACAGTTCTTTTTTTGTGTATGTTTTTTGAACCTGTGTGTCTACTGATGGGGCTAGAAATAGTCAAAGTAACTTCTTTCATTCTGACAAATGCCCTTAAAATAATGAGTTCATTAGTACTGTATTAAAAGATTGTCAGAAGTCAAGTTCTACAGGAACAAAATCCTATTACTGGAAACTGGATTCTTCACCTTCAGTGTAGAAAACATTTTACCACTTAGAGACCCTTTTCTAATTTGTGTGGTTCAACTATAGCTGCATGTCCAAACTGGGTGAGCTCAGATAAATGTGAAATGCATAGTAAGCAATTGTGTTGTTTCACCACAAGACCTAACACAGCATCTTTAAGCCTTAATGTCACACCACACCATAAAGGCTCAACATGGGCATAATCTACTGTACCACCTCTTTTTTCCATTCTCTTTTCTGACAATGTTTAATGATACAGTTTGTTTTGTAATGCTTAATGCAGTCTAAGATGAAACAAACAGTTGGACTTATGCATTTCCTTAAAGAGAGTGTATTGTCTAAAATATTTTGTTACAGTTCATCAGAGTTCATTTGTTTTCCTGATTCCTTCCTTTAGCGAGAGTCTGGAACGTCTTTCAATGTTTAAGAAAATAGAAAGAAGGCCTATGCCTTGGCCCTGCCAGCTCACTATTGGTTCTAATCTGTCCATAAGGATTGTGGCCTACAAAGCAGTAAGTTCATAAAATCGTATATTTTAGTGTAATTTGGCAGCAAGTTAGGTGCAGCTGCATCTTTTTTTCCTTAAAGCTAAGAAAATAAAACAACAACCAGATAATGAGGATAGAGATTTCTATGTGCTTAGAAGCCAGTACATCTAAAACTGTGGTTCCCACAGCAACTTCACCATATTGTATACGTGTTAAATAACTAAAATTTACAGTGTACAGAAATAGAAGTAATTGCTGTCTACGCTGTGACACTTAATGGTATTGAAGTCCACGAACCTGATTAAGAATGCTGTGATTGTTGGAGCTTTACTTTCAGCATCACTGATATGTCTGCAGCTCCAGTAAGACATAAATATCTCCCCAGGCGTGAGAGGAATTTTGCACGTGTGTGTGTAAAATGGTGGCTTTAAATGTTTTACCAGCCATTGTTTCAAATCCTATCTCTTATTATTTCAGACTTGGAAAAAAAAAAAAAGTGCATTTTTTCAGCTTGTTTGTCTTGTACTGTTTGGTGGAGCTTGGGCCCAATCTGTTTCCCTTACATTTTTATATGGGTCCTTCACACAGTGCTAGGAAGAAGTAAGTGTATTTAAACACAGAAAATGTGCAAACTTCCAGTTGTAAAATAGGTAACTATATAGTGTGGCAGTATTGATGGATCTGGTGAGATGGAGATTAATTGGTTTGTTATTTGAACTCAGGACTAGGAGTCTGGTATATAAGTAGAAATATATCTGATTTCTGACAGATAAGCATACTAGCCTTGAAAGAGACCAGCTTTCTATTTATACTTATTCATAATTTTTTATTAGGCTATTGTACCAGACCTGTGCAAATATGCAGGAAGAGTCCCTCCCAAAGGTTCTTACACAGAAAATAAACTAAGTTTGGGAGAATAAGCAACATGAACTGAGTGACTGGCCTGAGGTCATACAGCAGTCCTGCTAACGTAATCTATTTACTATTTCTGCCTATTCTACATTTTTATTCTCATGGACTAACTATGCCATCAGTTGCACTTAAGTTGAGAGAAAAGAGAGGGCTATAGGAAGTAAAATACATAACAAGCAAGTTACATGTTATCCTGTGACTTAGACTACCGCAAATGACTTAATCTAAGAGTTTAATGAATAACCAAGAGAAATATGCAGTCAATGTGCTACAGTTCACATGTGAATCTCATACAGATGAAACAGTGTGGTGGAAGCACTGTGGTAGCAACCAGAGATGCATATTTGGGGCTGTCGTTATTGGTCCTTTATTGGCAAAACAGTGCAGCACTGTGTTGTAGAATTTTTTTTTTTTTTCCTGTTCTGGTAAGTACTCTGTGTCCCACTGAAATGTTAAACATTCCTTTTCTTTGAATTCTGATATCAAGGTCACAGAAGAGAAGGTGAAAAAAATTTGGACAGTTGTGGATGCTAAAACCCTTAGAAGAGAGGATGTGCAGAAAGAAACTGTTTACTGCTTGAACGATGACGATGAGACAGAGGTTCCAAAAGATGATACTATTCAAGGTACAACATCTTTATGTGCACCCTGAAGACAAACTGAAGATAATGGCTTATACTCTTAAGTCACTTAAGTGCCTTTTAGTTTATACCTTGATGCCTAGCTGGGATCTTAGAATGTGAACTCTGCAGGCTGATGGAACACAGCAACTGTTGTGTGAGACTCTTTGTCTTCACATATTTTAGAAATTCTTACTTTTGCCAGTATTAGGAATAATAGTAATACCCCCTAGGTGGAACTTGGGGGGCACTATAGCTTCCTAAACTATGCTCTGTGGGGGTCCATACCTCAGTTCTGTAGTGAGTAGGGCTGCTACTTTTGTTCTGTTTTCAGGTCTTCTGCTGTACTGATAACACAAATGCTTCCATAGCACTGCTTTTTTCTAGATGAGCAACTTCTCTAGTTATTCTGCAATTGGAAAGATGAAATCATCAAAGGAAGGTTTAGTGTTCAAGAGTCTTTTAGCTTTAAGAGGTTCAATCTGAAGCAGTGGTATGCAGAACACTTCTCTTAGAACCTCCAGCTTCTTTCTGAGCAGATTAATTTCTTTAGAAGACTAAGGCCCCAGAAACAGCAGGAAATATGTACTTATTTTTAAAAATGGAGTTAAGCAAATCTGTTTTATGTTTTGCAATTGTATAGATGTATTTTGTTACTAGTTTTTCTCCTTTCCTTTGCTGTTTGAATCCCACACAATTAGGGCAAGTATATTAACTATAAAGGGCAGAACTATTCAGATAACAGTGCTGTCGAATGAATAACATAAATTGAAAATGAAGATAAATACTGAGGTTTTTTTGTTTAATCTTTTTTGATTGGAGTATTCATGGAGGTGTTTTGTAGCAGTATCAGGTAAAGTCCCAATGACAGTGTGATTTTCTTTAAGTAGAAATGGTAGTTAAAAGCTAATAGTCTATTTATGTTTTATAACTTGAAAACTATGTGTAAAAAAAATCCACTTCTTATAGTGAATATATTTTGAAGCATTTGTGACTGTCCTCAGTTAATCTGCTGACTGCTTATGTTAGTAAGTAGTTGTGGGATACTAGTAAAAAAGAACTTATGAACAGTTCAATGTGAACAAAAGAACCAAAAATTTCCCTATCAGTGGTGTGATATTTCTTATGTTTTATAGAGCTGCTGATGCCTCCTGGACTTTTGCAGATGATTTGAAAAATGTCATAATTAGAGAATACTTTGTCTTTGCAGCACCCACACTGAAATTTCGTTCATTCTACCAGTGTGATTGCTTTTCTGTTTGCAGGAAAATATATCTGCTTGTAGGTTTTTCCTCCAGGGATTTACCTCTGTTCCTTCTACTTTCTTCACACATGAGGATATCTTCCTTAGTCTGTGGCAGTATAATAAAGTGATGATGTTACAGTGAGGATATTGGAGCTTGAGGTAGGGGAATAAGCAGTTGGAACAGATGATACCTCTGAGAAATTACAGCTTCCTACTTAGTGGAGATATGCCTGTAATGTAAGGCATGGGAAGTAAAACACAGAAATGTATAGAAAGACTAGTTCTGCATACGAGAGTGTTTTGGTTTTCCATTGTGTGAGGGTGTATTTTGCTTCCACTGTTAATACATTTTATTCCCTGAGTCTTTTCAGGTGTCATCTCCTGTGGTATGATTTGTGGTATGTTTGAAGTTTTTCATATTATATTTGCAGGGAGTGTTGCAATCTGTTTGCTGAAATCTATTCTGTGAGCATAACTTGGGGCAAGATGTTCGGTTCCCTTATTTTCATTCCTGCTCTCTGAGGGTACTTGTGTTACACAAAATGATGTACAAGGAGTGCAACTGCTGTTCATGAAGTACAAAATGTGTATATGGGTGTGTGTTTTTTTTGTTAACAGGGAAAGTAATTTGATGAGCATGTGTGGAACGTAGCTGTGGGGCATGAATGCATTGTTAAAATATTCAGAGAGCTAATTTTGGTGTTAAAATTGTGGACCCATATGCTTACCAGATGCTCTTCTCTTGTTCTCCAGGTTTTCGGTATGGGAGTGATATAGTTCCTTTTTCCAAGGAAGATGAAGAGCAAATGAAATACAAAACAGAAGGGAAATGTTTTTCTGTTTTGGGATTCACTAGATCCTCTCAGGTATGGTACTAAATTTCTTTCTATTCAACTTCCTGGGTTATTCAGTACAATTGATCTTGATTTGAATTCACTAAAGTCAAGGTATTGTACTAGGTTTCAGTATTGGGAATTGGGCATCTGCAGTCAGGTATGCAGGGGTGACTTGCTGATTCTAGTGCATGTAAGCTGTATGTAGTCTTGTGAAGGAGAGAAGCTCATAAATGTGGCTATTGGACCCTCAGGTGAAGCCAGATGAACTCAGATCTCTGCAAAGTGAAGACTGAGGCATTGCGGTCTCATTTCATCTCACAAACTTAAATATTGATGCCAGACGTGCAGCAGAAGATGGTCTGTCTTGTCTTCAGCTCATGCAGCAGCCTTTCTGGCTTTGTCCAGCCGCAAGTGTGGTTTCTTTTTAACAGAAGAAGCTTAACATTATCGTTAAAGAAAGTGTGAGAACTGGGTCCATTCATTCAGTTTCATAAGGATTAGTTTGTGAACTGTAACTTTCTTATTTCTACTGTTTTAAAAAAACTAAATGTAGCGAAGGCTTCTTAGAACTTAGACAAAGATAATATCATTCAAAAACTCTCCATATTTCCATGAGATTCTTGGTGTTTGTATACACTTACCTGTACTTGGGCTATTGACTTTGCTATTCTTTTTCCCTGACAATTGTAAGAAACTTACATTAAGCAAGTACCTTAATAAAAGTTATCTAGCACAAGGTGATTTCCTGCAGGAAATCCAGGACTTAGGAATTAGGAAAGCCTTAGGCAAAGGCTTATCAAAACTATTCTGGAAGCAGGACACATGATGAGAAGGTACAGAGATGTGAGTGCCAAGTAATTGCTGGGAATGTTAGCTACTCCCTCTCTTTTTTCTCCAGGATATTTCAGCACAAGGTGACTGAAACTTTACTCTTCTTGGAGTTGTCTGCACCCAGTTCACTTCACCAGTCAAAACTGAAATGAAATCATAGGGCAGCTCTACACCTTCTGTTTTGACAGCTCCCAGCCCTCCTGCTCTTTGATATGTCTCAGTGCCTGAACAAACTAGAACCCCTGTTAAAGGCTGAGGAATCATTACCTTTACCAGGAAGGAAATATGTTAATGGAATAGGAAGTATCTGAGGGAGTTTACTCCCAAACAGGTGTAACTAAACATCTTTTTACTTTACAGTACAGTTGGCACAGAGACTCGTGTGTGTTGCTGGATGTGTGCTTAAGACTACTGCAGTGCAGTGTTCAAAAACAGATTATTAACTGAGAAGCCAGGATTTATTTATTTGATTTATTGAAATGCAAAGCCAGCCTAAATGAAAAGTGTAACCTGATTGTTCCTTGAGGACTTTGGGAACTTAGTTGTTAAGAAACACAGGAGCTTGTGTACTGCAAGTAATTGATGGAGGAAACGTATTGGGCTTGAGCTTATGTGCCCTAAATTAGACAGAGAAGTGTTGAGAACTGCTAAATCCTGCACCAGAAACTGGATCTAACAAGGGAAATGTGTCTGAATCCAGTGTTTCGATGAAACAGTTTCTTGCATCTCCTCGTATGTCATTAACCTACAGCTGACTCTTATTGTCTTCATTTAATTCTTAAGATGTATTTCACCATGGATGGAGTTTTCTTATGCTGGAGGTTGACCTCCTCTTTTGACTTGAAATCTGACTTTTATTGAAAGTGGAAACTAAAAGGGAAACAGATGAGAAAAATCGTGCTCCTGTAAGTGAGCTGTTATCTCATATGGGTTTTTATTTTCCCACCAGTGGTCAGATAGTGCAGTAATACCTCCAACTACATAGTTAATACTTGTAGGAATACTGCCAGTTTTAGGAATATTTTTGATTCACATAAATATGCATTGAAGAATTAACAATTTGGTTTTCTAATTTTTCCATGCACAAAATACTGTGCGTTAGCAAAATATGCTTTTGCAAATATTTGCAAAAAGAAATATTGCTTTTGATTAGTATATACTTTTGTTGTCTGTGGATTTTATAATGAATAGAAATTATATCTAAGTGTGCTCTGGTCCTGTAGGTAGGAGTGTGAGTAGTTATGACCAATAGTAGAAGCATATACCTCAGTGGAATAAAATTATTCAGGTGTGATTGCAGAATTAAAATTACAGTGTATTGATAGTATCAGAAACTTTTTGTCTAAAACTGGAATTTTCAAGACCTATGCTTTCCTTAAGTTTTGGATCCTAAATTGTATTGTTTGGAATCATACAACTGACACTATTCAACTATATGTTTTATAAAAATTTTTTCTTTTTAAAACTTAGGAGGAAAGATAATTTATTATTAACTGGAAAAACTGGAACAGCTCCAAATACATAATTAAAGAAGGAATAGAACAACCTTATATTATTTTCTTGAGTTATTCACATCCCTCAGGAAAGAAGATCAGAGGGCGCTTAAACTTTGATTTTTAATTTATAAGCTGTGCCATGTAAATTGAGAAATAATGCTTAAAAATGTTACAAAGGGACAATTTTTTTTTTCAAACAAAAAAGGTGTAGTGATACATACGTCTAGTTATTTATGCTATACTGAATATAAAATTTCCTGAGCTTTTAACGACAGAAAGCAAAGAATGATTGCAGGTAGAGTAATCTGAGCTGAAGAATTGTGCTGTAACACAGTAAATAGGTCTGCTCTGGTGCAGTTGTCACTGACTTCAACAAACCTATTTTACTACAAAACCTAGTTGCTAAATGAAGAAGATATAATAAAAACTGAAAAAAAAAATTTAAAAAAAAATGTAATGAAGTTAGTTTTGAGACTGATTTGAAGAGTTTTTTTTGTTTAACAGAGAGAGGTCAATTTAACCAGCATTCATAGTAGTGTGCAGTCTTTATGACAGGTTTTCCACTATTGCAGGGTATCTGTGCTTGTGTTTCAGTCTTTGTAGCTCCAACTATGCCAGTGATGTTCCTTCATGAAACTTATTTTTTTTTGTTTCTGAGCCAGCCATGTTCATGAACAGAATAAACTCTGCTAACAGAACTGCTGCTTTGCCAGCACAGCTGTATATACTCCATGTTGCTGTCAAAGTAGGTTTATTAATTAAGGATGCAACATTTTTCAGCTCCTTTTTGATGTATCTTTGCTAGAAAAAAATGAATGGCATAGATGTGGTGTCATTTGGGCTTAGGTCTTGTATTAACTACTGTGGTTTTTTACACTGACTTTTGAATTACTGCATTATTATTCAGACTGGTAACAGCTGCAGATAGCAGTCTTTCATTCCTACCCATCGGTAGGAAGGTATGAGAATATCCTGCCCAGTATGATTGAATATCCATATTGTGTGATAAATGGAGATATGGGCTTACAGGGCTTTAACATACAGGGCTTTAACCTCTTTACACGGTAATTATTCAAGTGAGAAGCCACAAAATTTGATGTTAGTTGTTATGTAATTTAATTGGTCCAGTTGCATTAGTGACATTTTCTTTACATCAGGCTAACTTTTGACCATTTGCATCTAGATCCAGAGGCATTACTACATGGGCAACCAGGTTCTGAAGGTCTTTGCAGCGAAAGATGATGAGGTAAGGTGAACTGAAGTTTAATGCTATTTAATGCTGAAGGTATTTTGCTGTGGAATAGAAAAGAATAGTAGTGGCACTTGAGATTGTCCTGTCTTCTTGCACTAATAAATACTTTTAATGCAGCTTACAGAAGTCTTGTTCCATTGCCCATTAGGGTGAAAGGAATTTGGATTAGACCCCAAATGAATACAGTATCTCATGAATAATGGGCAACTGGTAGATATTATGTTTGTGTGAGGGCACGTGGAACCTGAAATTGGTGCTTAAGTCCGTTCTCCTGCAGAGCAACAGTGTGTCCTATCCCATGTTATTTAGAACAGACCTCCAAATTATTTTAAGTATTGGAGGTAAAAAGCTCACTGTAGTGCATTTAATGAGTTCCTTTCAGGGTCTGACTTCCCTCCCTTTCTCTTTCTCTTGTAATACTTCTGAGAGCTCTTTTTTTGCTGGTGAAAAAGGTGGAATTTGCTGGATCTGAAGTTTACTCAGCTTTGAATGGATCCACTATCAGGATGAGATTTGACCTTTCTGCTTCTTCAGTTTTTGAATGTGAAAAATGCTTGTTCTCAAGTTACAGCTGAAATGGGAACTAGTCTTGACTAAATCGGTGCTTTTGAATTCACTGTGAAAGATGTATTTCAGCAGATGAATAAGAACTTGCATGATTCTGTTACCTCTTTTCCCCACTCTCCCCAGAATGCAGCAGTTGCTTTTTCTGCCCTTGTTCGTGCACTGGATGAGTTGAAAGTGGTAGCTATCGTGCGGTACGCTTATGACAGAAGGAGCAACCCGCAAATTGGAGTAGCTTTTCCATATATCAAAGAGGCATATGAGGTAATTTTTCACTCTTACCCTTCTGCAGAGAGCCTTCTGAGAGACCCAGAAGCAACACAGTATGTCAGAATTTTTGCAGCATATGTTTCAGCTGATCTTAGCTACGAGAGACTATTGAAAGAGCTAAATATGTATATGGCTGAGCAGTGACGGAGGTGGGGGCGGACACAACAATCTTCAGACTTTTGAAGGGTATAAACATAAAGGACAGAAAGGAATTTTTTAGGGTGGCATGAACTGGAGGAGGTATTTGAGTAAATCAAAAATGAGGCAGAGAATGTTAAAAAACCAAAACCAGCTTTTGATTTTGAAACACACTAAGCTATGATAAAACCTCCCAAAGCGCCAATATATGGGTTATTTAAAGCATGGCTGGTTGGAACTCTGCACAAGAAAAAGGGATCAAATGGCCTGGGAGATCTTTATTCCACCAGTAGAAAAATGAGGAATGCAGCCATCAGTAAATTATAAAATATAATTGTGTGGTTTATTTTGATTAAAACTGTTGCTCTGTAAATATTTTATTTAAATATTTTAATACACACAGGCAGTAGGTCTTCAAATTTATCTTATGTTTATATTGTCCTGATATGGCACTCTGGGGATACAGATTCTTTTTTTCTTCAGGCTCAGTTGTTTCTTCTTTGCTCTTGCTCAGTGTCTCATCTATGTGCAACTACCCTACATGGAAGACCTAAGACAGTACATATTTTCATCCTTGAAAAACAATAAAAAATGCATTCCTACAGGTAAGGTATTTGCTGGTCAACTGGAGAAGTAACCTTCTTGTCATCTTCTAAGGTGCTCTTTAAGAGTTAAAATATTTGGCTGTCCAATGAAAACATAAGTTATGTCATTATTTTACCTTGGGGAAAAAAATCCCAGCCGTTTGGGCATCCGTTATGGTGATGTCATCTTGAAGTATAAGCGTGTATCACAGCGTTGCCACAGAGTTGCAGGCTCAGCAGACTTGAAGTTTGCAGGCTGTCATTTAAACTGTCCTGTTAAACGACTAAGTGGCTAAACCTTGTGGGATCTACAGTGTGTGATTATCAGGCTAGAATTAGAACAGAGACAGCTGCTCCACTGGTGCAAAGCTGGTCCTGCAGTCAGTTGCAGTATGGCCTGTTAATATAGTGCACAAAGACTGTATTTTCTGTGGTGTGTTGTTTATTAAAGTGTGCACTTACTGGTGTCCAGATTCAGGTGGAGGGCATCTTTGGAGAACCATAGAACATTCAGCTGCACAAAGCTTGACTCGCTGTTCTGAGAATTTTGCACAGCAATGAGTCTCTAAATGGATGTAGTTTAAAATCCACTCCTACTTCTTTCAGTTGTTGTGAGATCCATTGAATGGGCACCTGCACATTAGGGTATACATAGCCTGCTGGTTTGTTTCTGAAACAGTTTCTATTTTCTTGCCTGTAACCAGCAGTTTGAGAACAAATTTAAAACTTGTCTTACCAAAGCAGTAGTTGGCTATTGTGAACTGTGTTAATTTACATTCATAACTTAAAAAATTTATATTATGCCATTTAGTTTTTCAAACCAACTGTTCTCCTTATTTTCTAAGTGGCCTATAAACCTTCTGTTGCAAATGAAAACATCTTGAAAAAGAAAAGCAAATTAAAGCAGAAAGGCAACAATAATTGAGGTCTTGGAGAAAAAACGAAAAGGCTTTATGACTTTACACTGCAGTCCTTAAATACTGAAGGGGTTTATTATTCTGTCCATTATCCAAATTCTTTATTGGTACATCTAAAACTGCAGTGTATTCTGTGGCATGTAATGACTTGGTAAAAATCTCACGTTGTGAACCGAATCTTCATTTATAAATTGTTTTAAGAAATGCATCCATCTGGAAGTGTATTTAATTTCTCTTTGTATGTAATTGCTGCCTTAGCGGATCAGTTGTCTGCTGTTGACTCATTGATTGATTCAATGAATTTGGTTTATGAAGATGGAGAAACTTTTGAGGACCTGTTTAAGCCCAGCAAAATCCCAAACCCTCACTTTCAGAGGTTATATCAGGTGAGGTGAACTCTATGACATATTTTTAAAACTTCTTTTGTTAAGACTTTTTATCTTTCTGTCTTTCTCTGATTCACAGTGGAAAGATCTGCATTGTGAAGATGCAGCTATAAAATCTTTTGCATTTTAAGTATGAGGTAACTGGTGACTTTTATGTTGTCCCTGACATAGATTTATTTAAAAAATTTCCAGTTCCCAGGAAGCAAGAGAAATTATAGCTGTGCTGAGATCTCTGCAGCAACATCAGTGATACTCACAGGCACTTAGACTAGACAAATAAAAACTTGAATCTCCAGACTGTATTGGGGTGATTACAGTGTGGACATAGACTGAATCTTCAGCTTTTGGGCAAAGAGAAAAATCAGCTGAAAATCGTGGATCTCTTTAGCTTCTCATTCTGTGTCCTATCACTTTTCTGTGCATTGTTGCATCTAGCAGTGATTTCAAAACAGGTCAGTCTGAGGTTAACTTGGTCAGTAGTAAATGGTTAATGTTGTTGACATTTAAAATGTTCCATTTGGGTGTCTAAGCTGATGCACTTTATGGGCAAGCAGAATGGTTTGCACTTCTTGCAATTATTGTATCAAGCTGTCTACATTTTGATTTACATCCTTTCATATCATGAAGACTTTCATTGTAACTGTGAGGATGAGAGACTTAATTATACATTGGAATTCAAGTGTTCAAAAAATGACACAGCAAATTTAAAAATAAGGAAAATTATGTTGCAGTTTATGCAGCTGCAGAATTGTGTAGTATACGGAACCATGGAGATATATTGAGTGTGTGAGTCTGAAAATTGACCAAAAATGGTACTATAGCAACTATGTTCATCATGTCTCAGCAATTCCAAATTATTTATTTCAGTTTACAAGTAGCAAGAAGATGCTTTTTAAGTTAAGAAAACTTACCCTAACTTCCCAAAGCCCTGCTACCTCAATACTTTCAAAAGAGCCAAGGGATCTGAAAGTTCATTGTGTGTTTCAGGAACACATGTAAGCCCAGTCTTCAAATCCTACTCTGATTGACACCTGAGGAACTCACTGTTCTCTTCAAATTCTGCCAGTCATATTGACAAGACAGTGTGCAACTGAATGCAAGATTTGATCAGTAGAGGGTTATGGCAGGACAAGAGCGTAAAATGAATTGACCTCTTCACAACTCTTATTTTAGGAAGGATTGTTAAGCTTGGGTGTTACAAAACGGCTTTTCTTGTAAATGAAACACATAGGGGATAGAATTTTCTCTGTTATATTGCTAGATGCAGTTTTGCATTTTTTTTGGTTTAGTGGATGTAACCTATCAATGAAAGAGGGTTTTGCTTTAGGTGTGCTGTTTGTCTTCTGAAACAGTGTGATGACGTTGTCCCAGCATTTGAGTCAAGTGCTGCTGGAAGAGACTGAGTAACTCACCAGTTTCCTTAGAGGATAATGGGATTTTGTAAGGGTGAATGCTATTGGTAGAAAAAGTATTTATGGACTGTTTGAATGTAGAAGGTAGGATACAGTTTCTGTCCACAATGCTTGCTGTTTAGAAAGTTGTAAATTACCAGTCCTCTTAGTGCTTTCTTTTGGCAATGAACAGCCCCATTTGTGTGTCTTAGTACGAAATTGCTGTTAATCTGTGTAAGTTATTCTCTCCTTTGCTGCAAAAAATGTTCCAGATTTTTAGTATTTTGCTCTTAGGCCAAGTGGCAGTGCTGGTTCCTTAAGAACCATGAAGAAAAATTATACACCATCTTTTGATTGTAGCCAGTAAATTGATTGGGCTGAACAGGACCTATAAGTGGTTTCGAAAAATAACTCTGAAGAAAAGGATGAACTCCTCCTTCATTTCCTTGCTTTGTTGCCTCATGAAGATATTTGGAATGATAAGTGACAAGAGCCAGAATTTAAACAGAAACATCAAGCTAAATTATATCTCTGGAAGTAGTGGTAGGCATTAGGAAATGACAGAGTGGGTGGAAAATAGTTGTTAATGCTTGCTGGAGTGGAAGATGAGGAATATCCTATATCCAGAGTTTCAACTTTTATTCCTTGCTTCCAGAAAAGCCTAAGTGAACTTCCACATAGCTTTTGTAGTGACAGACTTCCAACGTTATTGTTTAAGTTGTCCCTCTTAAATACAGGGATTTGAAGCACCTAAGATACTTGGGGAATGCAGTGCATTTTATTTGCTAGCCAAATAAACAAGTTGTTCAACAATGACTGTACAGAGACAGACCTGGGGAGAGGTTTGTTGGGATGGTGCCGTGCAGCATTTCATAGTTCATGGAATGCAACTGTAGAGTCTCCGTCTGAATGTGCTGTCATGGCTCTCATTAAACCATGGGTAAGTGACCTTAGAGGATTAAGCTGGTTTATAAGTGGTTGGACTGTGTGGATGTTCTCTTTGAAAACCCACAGGAACTGGGGAGGTGAGGTTGCTCATGAATGTCTGTGAGGGCTTTCAGCAACAAGTAATCTTATCTTCGGTTGAATGGTTGTTGGAAGGTCATTTTGAAATCATCCCAAATTGGGTGTAAACTGAACTCTGAAGACGTTTGTGTCAGGATGCAGTTCACACAGGTTTAACCTCAAAAGCCAGCCAATTAGTGTAAACTGAGATGTCCAAATTATTCCATAATTATGAAAAAAGAACTTTGGCCAAGTGATTGATCCTTCTTATTTTGGAGATCTTAAGTACATGATAGTTGTGGTTTTGTAGAGTGAGTAGGTGACTGATAGAGAGTAAATGCTTATTTTTTAGATAGCTGAATCTCTCTTCCATCTTCTAAGGCTTTAAGTACTATCAGATTCCAGTAGAATTTATAGATTTGCTAAAATGTGGTTCTACAGAAGTGTTTTCCTAGATACTGTTTGAAAGGAAACAAGGCAGAATGCTTTCTTGCGGTAAATTTCTGCCCGTTCATGCATTTGTGCCATTCCTTATCATGGAATCAATGATGTGAAAAGCCCACTTCATTACATCTGTTGACCAGTAGCTTAGTTAGTGTGAGCTCTGTTCCTGAGAGCTAGCTGTGTCTCTAAAGTGGAAGCGTAAGGAAATTAAGAAGAGCAATGAGGAGCTAGTGTGTTTGACAACATATGTGAATAGAATGGCGAGTCTGGAAGGCAGTGACAGTGTGGGTTGCCTTCTAGCCTGTGAGGGTAGGAATAGTTCTTGCTGGGCACAGATGGAAGGGGCAGCAAGGTCAAGAGGGACTGTGTGGGTTTAGAAACTCCAGGTTGTCTGTTTAACTTAATTTCCATTTAGTACCTGAGTTTTGATGGTACCTGCTATCGCAGATCATCTACTTTAAAAACAGGTACAAGTGGAGGCTGTTGTTATTCGTGGCAGTTTGCTCAGCTCTTACAGCTGCACACATAAAGATTTCAGATATGAAAGCCTGAAAAACATTCACAACAGGGGAATTAGTTTTTTTGCTTTGTCAGTTTAATTCAATTCCCTAATGTTTTTTTAATAGTGGGGGGGGTTGTATCAGAAGAACCATTACTGCAGCTTCCAGCAACATTTTTACTCCCTTTCAAAATAATTATGCCTTAAATCATTACAAGTGTTTCCAAATTGGTAGCCTTATACGGCTACCTCCTTTGGACACTGTGTTCTCTATTATGGATTGGAATCTTAATGGCAACATGAAAACACATTAGTATTGATGTGTAGCATATGGTCTGGATTTTCTTTATTGGCAGCTTTTCAACGTGAATAGGGGGTTTTACTTGCTTTGATTTTGTTTTTTGAATTAATGTCATGCCTGACAGCCAACAGGGGAGCAGATCTACTGTATTCCTTCACACTGGTGTCTAATGCACCCAGTACAATGGTAGTGGAAAAAAATTTTTCTCCCATGTACATCACATGTTTTGATGTATGTGTATGTCTGCTCTGGTATCTGTGTATATATTTGTAAATGCACAGACCTCTCTAATCCTATCTCACACTTCACAATGTTGTAAAGATACCTACTTTGCTTTCAAAATTCTCAATGGAATTTCTGTAGCCCGCCTCATTAATCTTAGTCTGTCTCCCTCTGTTTGGCTCCCTGACTGTGTGCACTGACTTTACACTTGGTGAAAGAGCCTTTTCTATATCTCCTACCATCTCTTCCAACTGTGGTGTGCATCTGTCATTCTCCTTCATTCCCTTCTCCTTTCAAAGCCAAGTTCTAAACATACATATATTCTGTGCCTCACCTGTGCACATTTAGCATTCTCTCTTTCCATTTGCTCTTAAACTGGTGAAAGTTTCTCCTGTGAGAGTACTGAGTTTTACTTACCAAGAAGAAAAATTTTCTGAGAGGGACAGTGGACTGTGGCAATAACTGGAATACATGGTTGAGATATATCTCATTGCCTAATTTTGGAGGGTGTAGAAATTTTTCCTGTGTGACTGTTCTGTAATAGAATTGCATTTTAAAGGTAGGAAAAAGTTAAAAATATGAACACTTGCAGATTGTTTCATTCCTGGGATTTTCCTAATAATTTTCATGGAACTCATTCCAGTGAGTGTGGAAACACTCATCTGCATCACTATTCTTATTTAATGTCATTATTAATCTCCTTAAACAGCTGATCATAGACTCTCAATGCACTTGTGAGCTGAAATGTTTTTTAGCAATACAAAAGTAGTTTCTTTATTATGAAAGATATTTTGCATGTACCATATGGTGTCAGGCATACAGGCATTATATTAAAAGCACATAAAAGTTTTACTTTTGAAAGTTTTACTTTGCTCAAACTGTTTTGTCTCTTGCAGTGTTTGCAGCATAAGGCTTTTCACCCTGACAAGCCATTGCCACCAATAGAGCAACACCTTTTAGAGATGCTGGAGATGCCCTCTGTGGTAAAAGAAAGGTGTCAGGCTCCTCTGGAAAGAGTGAAAGCACTTTTCCCCCTGAAGGAAGTTGGCAAGAAAAAAGAAGAGAAGACTGCTCAAGACATCTTCAAAGACAAGTAAGTTGGAGATGTATTATGGATTTTTTTGAAACTTTTTTTTTTTTTACACTTCAAGTTGCTTTTGCTGGATGAAGCAGGCTCAGAGTCTTTTGAACAGAAAATCAATGAGTTACACACTGGAAAAGGTGCTGATAGATGGAGAATATTGTGGTGCCACAGTGTGTCTGGAGTATCTTGTGAGTTGTGGTGGTCATACTATTACAGTGCTAGACACACCAGGAACCAGTTTGTAACTTCCACATGTCTGTATTTGCTGTCACAGAATCACAAAATCCATCAGGTTGGAATGGACCTCAGGAGCTTTCTTGTACAACCTGCTGCTCAAAGCAAGATCACCTGTGAGGTCTAAACAGGCCTTGATCCAGTCTGGTATTGAAAACCGCCACGGGTGGTGACTGCACATCCTCTCTGGGCAACCTGTTACATTGCTTACTGTCTTTTGATCAGACAGTTTGTCCTACTGGTGCTTATAAAGTAGTTCAAACAACACTAAGGTAGTCTAGTTTAGAATAAATGCCATGAAGCTTTAAATTAGCCATAAAGTGGAGTCATTTTAGCATGCATGATTTAGGTCATGCTATAGTTTTCATTTTGAATACCAATCAAAAGAAAAGCAGCTTCATTATTATCAGCTGTGCAATTAATGTGGTTTTCTTGGAAAAAAAAATCAAACTGTTAATGGACTCTTCCTGGAACACCTACTGTTTGAACAGATTCAAGATAGGATTTTGTTGTTGTTGAATATCCTGTGTTTAGTTTATTTGTGCTGCAAATAGGAAGAATAAATGCTGAATTACTGCTGCATTGCTGTCATCCCAGCCAAATCAATTTGCTCAAATAAAATCTGCTTCTTACAGCTTAACTTATTGAAATCAGTAATATAACTTGTGGGGGCCCTGCTTGTTGGAGTGTTCTCAGTTATTTCCTTCTCCCTTCTTTTTGTCATTTTTGGTTCAGTCATTTCAGCACTAGGAACAACGTCACTGAAGTGTTTTGAGTTCTTTCTTAGCTGAGCTATCATATATCCTTTACCTAGAGCCTCCTCCCCAGTTATCTCTGGGAAAACATGACATAAGACTTCTCACTTTGCTACTCAAGATTAATGACCACATTTCTCTATACAGACTGGGAAACACCTTACTTTCTGTTGTTGTTTTTGATTTCAGTGCGTGCCTGTGTTACCTTGGTGTGTCTGTGAATTCATACTGATTAAATTCTCTTTTCCTTACTCTGTGCCCCAATTTCTCTGTGTATGTGTACATACATACATTTATATGTGTATTTTAAGAAGGGATAGAACCAGTTGAAAAAAAAAGAAGGGGGGGCAAAATTTGGGTTCAAGCAAGCTAGAGAGAGAATTTAAACAAGAAGCGGTGACCTGTTCCTGGAAGTTGCTTAAAAATATATCTTGCGAAAAGCATCTAATTGACAAGGAAGAAGGAAATCTATTTTGTTTAAAAACTGGTTTCCTTTAGAGAGGTGATAAAAGCAGCTATGAAATTGAGATTAATTGAGAGTAATTGAGATAGGAATTTATGTAGGGCATTAAAATGATTTTAAAAAAAAATCTGTAAAGGAAGTGAAAGGATACAAACTCAACTATTAACAGAAGAATGAATGGTAATGGGATTTTTAAAAATTGCAAATAAAAATGGTATTGCTATAGTAATGAATGGGAACAGTAGTATTGTCATTGCTACAACAGTAGTGCTAACTGTATGGTTTTGTTCTGTGTTTGGGGAAAAGCTGAGTGATATAACTTATTCAATTGATAAAGACAAGCACGTCACTGTGCAACTCTGCCCTGGCACAGAGAAGCTGTGGATGCCCCATCCCTGGAGATGTTCAAGACCAGGTTCGATGAAGCTCTGAGCAACCTGGTCTAGTGGAAGGTGTCCCTGCTCATGGCAGGGGGTTGGAATGAGGTAATACTTAAGTTCCCTTCCAACCCAAACCATTCTGTGATTCTAAATTCTATATTCTATGAGATTCAACCTATTAAAACTATCATATGTAGATAGTTTGCTCTGAAGTATTGTGAAAAAGTTGGCTAGAAGATCTCTTGACCATTCTTTTTGTTTCCTAAAACTGATTTGTGTCTCCTATCATCATATTAACCAGATTCTTCTCCCCTTAATTTTTGAGATCTGATGAGACTAAGGCAGCATAGTTATAGACATCATATCTTAATACAGATTTCAGTATTCAGCATTCATTTGTATCACTTTTGCTAAGCTCTCTAGTTAAAAAAAATCCAGTAAAATAGAAAGCATTTTACTTTTTCCTTCTTAGATTGGCTATGGAGATGCTGTTACCTCATCCAGCTTTGCAGCATGTGAGAGGCTTCTATATTAATGTAGAAGTGGGTGTTTTAAATTAATCTTGTATTTTATTAATTTTTCTCAAATAGTAATTGCACGTTTTACAGTTTAAAAATACTGCTAATCAGTGCATATTCTAAATGTCAGATCCTTGGCTGGTATAAATGGGTATGGATTCATTAGTTTCTGCTGTGCTGCACTGATTAATGACAACTGTAGATCTGGTCCTAGGCAGTTAAATGTAGTGTCGTCATTTATTTTCTCCTTCTACAATCCCAAAGCATTTTGAATCAGTAAAAATAATACAGGAAGAAAAAGGTTTCAAGACATTCCAATTAATTGCCACACACCTTTTGGAGAAAAATATTCTAAAAGAGAATTTTCATTGTTCTTTGCGCCTTTCATCAAACCACATTAGTATACAAGATTTTTGGTTTCAGTAGAAGTTCTAAACTCACTGGTGTTGATAAGTATCAGTTTCTCCATTTTACAGAGAGACAGAAGCTGTTCAAAACAATCAAGCAACTTGTTCAAGGTTAGTCAGAAAGTCAGTGGAGTTGAGAATGAAACAAGGTATCCTATCCTTGTCCTGAGGCATAACTAAAGTCATCATTCCTCCTAGAGTGATAAGTAAGGTTATGCTGAATGACAGGAGTTGCTGAGGAGAAGGGATTTCATTTCAGTAGTGACAAAATGAAGTAAAGGACGAGAAGACTGCAGAAACAAAGTGAGATAGACACTGATTATAAAGTAGGGGAGGAGTGTGTTACAGAAAGCAAAAAGAAAGACTGTACAAGTTCTTTCCAATAGTTGATTGCTTCTGTAACGTGCGATGCAATTTTTGCAATCAGTTCTAACCTTGTAGAATGCAAAGTGGCACCTTGTCCAGGATCTCTGGCTTTGTCCCTACGTCCTCAAGCAGTTTCTGTTTTTCACTGCAGTAGCAGAATTTTTCATAAAAACTTGTTACTTTGTTTTGAGATTCCTTGAACACAAATCCTGCTAGTTTGATTGCTGAGTAGCTTTCAGTCATTCTTAAACTGAAATCAATTCTTCTGTGTCAGTAGCCTGTCACATTATGTGACACAGAACATAATATCTGATTTTCTTCCCCTTTTGTGATTATCTGGATTTTTCTCCTGTTGCCAAAATGTGCTCTAAAGTTTAATATGTTCCATCTGACAGTTAAGTTCCTAGTATGAACGTGCACCTTGTTATATATTACCTGTGAGGACAAAGGGAGAAAGAAGCCTAAAATCACAATTAGCTTTTTAAAATAACAAATAGTCCTTTTGAAAGCATTTTGAGATGTAGCTTAAAGTGTCATAAGAGAGTTGTGCTGTGTTTAATTGGGATTTGTCTAGCAGATTTTGATAATCTTATAAAGCTCTCATGTGCAGATGAAGAATAGGGGTTGTTAGACTCAAAAGCCACTGTGTAAACAGGTTTGTATTAGCTATAAATTCCAAGACAGGAACTAGCAGGTAGTGACTGAAGAGTAAACTAATTGCTTACCTAAGTGTTGTATTTTCATTGCCATTTCATGTTTAAAACAAATCTAGTGAGAACATGAAATGTCATGTTATATAGTGTAAATTATTAAGGTTAACTCAACATGCAGGTTCCAAATAAAGTGATTTAAGGTATTTTGTATTTAAAAAGGTGAAGGAGTGTATAAGTAAATTCACACCTGAAATAAGCACGAATAATCTCATACCTTCAACAAGAGATGCCTTTGCTTTATGCTAAGATAAAGTTTGATCTCTGTTTCTGCTGTCTGCTTTGTGCAGTCTGTGGGGAAAAATGAGGCATGGTTTAGTGTTGAGTTTGGAACAATTAGGTGATGAAGTTTACTTCAGTGCATATTTCATTAATTTACTGACTCCCTAGTTAGTAGGCAGGACAGTTTACTTCAAGTGTTTATATTCAGTTTTGTCCTTCTCATTTTCAGCAGTGAAGATGAACCCCACCTCAAGAAGCCAAAAACTGAAGACGAGGAAGAGAGCTTTAGCATCCTAAAACTTGCTGAAGGCAATATAACCTCTGTAAGCATATTTTTACAAATCTGATTATTAAGGGGAGAGATTAATTCTCTAATTGTATTATAGTGAATATACAGAATTCCTGATAAAAGGAGGGTTTCTAGCTGAAACATGACTGAAATACGGTCTACTTGTATATTTGAGTCTCTGCTAGAGATTATAAAGACAACTTTCTCTACCCTTAAGCATATGTTAGCACAGGTTTCTGTCAGTCTTGGATATTTTAGGACAGAATTCTTTCCTGTTGTTTAGAACTCTAAAAGGCAAGCCTGAGGATCTGAAGAAAACAATCTCAGAACTGGAGTTCAGTGGTTGCTGTCTTTCATATCATGTGCAACATAGAAGTTGCCTCTGTATATGTAATTAAAGGTATTGCTGAGGTTTTAGACACTGTTCTGTTCTCTGCATTAGCTGGGGTTCTAAATCAGAAATTTGGCTTCATCTTGCTGCTAGATCTAACTTAATTCTATGGATAGGTGAAACCTGTATCAGAACTGTGCCCTTCCTTTATTTGAGGTTTTTTTCCTATTATGGGAAAAAAAAAGATTTTGTATAGAGATAATTTCACTTGTTTTCAACCATCCTATTCTTTAAGGTTCATTTTAAAAAATGCATTATTGATATTTATAGAAGATTTAAAATCTAAAATTATTTCAATATGCTGTACTCTTGATATAAATTTCTGGTATTTCCTGAAAAGTAGTGTTACCACATTTAGAAGAAACACGATGAGACCAAGCAAGCTTACTGAAAGGTCCACAAATTATTTTGACAGCAAAGCATAAAAAAAAAAAAAAAATAAAAGAATTTTCATTCCTGATAGGAAGTATTAAGCAACGTAGGGTTTTTTTTTAATTAGAGTTAATGCATCTGTTTTTCAGTAAGTGCTGGTTTATATTTGACCTGTTTTTAGTTCCTTTCTAAGGTTTTTGCACCCATATATCCACATAGAGCTTTGGCTTTAAGATGTCAGACTGTGCCAGAAATGGTAGATGACTTGAGGGCAAGGTTTTAATTTTGGGCTTGCTACAGGAATGACACATCACTGATTCTGTACTCATGTGCATGGAAGCTCCCACTCCTCAGTAGGCAACTGGCAGGATTAGGGAGGTCTAAGAGGTCTGTGCTGCAGAAGGTCTCAAAGCTGAACTAGCAGGTAACCTGAATTACTGTCCTTGTGTCCTCTCAGCACCAGAGAACGTGACTGACTGGTAACAGTGCAGAGTAGTGAGTGTGAGTTCATCTTGCTCATGTCATAACTAACCTTTGCTGGGAGTCCTGTGCATTAACACACATTGAAAGATGTAACATTTTATGAGTCTGCATGCAGAGAAGTGTAGAGCTTCTGTTTCTGTATTAAAATTAAAAGAAATTAAAAGATTCTTTTTGCTCTGCAAGAAGAGAGAGATGTGTATTGGCAGACAATTGTATCATTTTTGTACCTTTGCAGGTAGGCAGTGTTAACCCAGCAGAAGATTTCCGAATTCTTGTGAGGAAGAGAAATGCTGATTTCAAAGATGGTAAGTTACTTTTTTCTCTCTTAATTATAATGGAGGCATCTTCAGGGTTCAGTAAATGCAATCCCTTTGTCTAAACATAAGTTTCTATGTGAGGTGCTCTGGAATTTACAGGTTAGTTTCTAGTGCCACTTAGCAAAGAAAGGTGTCCCCCGTAATTCCCATGTCAATATTTGCCTTCCCCAGTTAAAAGTCTCAGGTACCTGTGTTTGAGTAAAACAGCATTAAACAGCTACACTGAGGCACCTGAGCAACCCCACAGGTGTTTGTAACAGAAGATCCCTTGGTACTCATTGACTGCCACATTCAAACTGAGTCTCAGCTTCTCCTTCCCAGGATCTGTCTGGCTCGATGTGGAGGGCTGTTGGCTATGCACAGTGTGAGAAACCTGTCTTCTGCAGTCTCCTTATTCTGTTCCATGTAGAAGAAAACAGACTCTGATGCCTGGGATTTAAATCTTTGCATGCAAAAATCATTTCTTACTTCTTGTGAGCAAGAGAAAGCACAAGTGACTTTAGGGTGTTGTAGGCAGGTAGTCTGTATGTGAAAGATGAGAGGAGGCCCTGTGTGCACTGACTCTATCCTCATCATACAGCAAGACAGGGTTTTGATGCAGAGGAGAGAAAGAATACAAAGCACAGGTCAGGCACTGTCTTGCACGCCCCAAGTCTGAAAATGCAATGGAACTCTCATTTGTTTGTATGGTATTTCCCTAGTGGAATAGCTATACAGAGATATATGTAATCCAGAGGTATCTTAAAACGAATGCACAAGATGGATGGGATCCTTTATCTGTTAAAGGGTGGTTTGAAGGTTGTGGCAACGTAAACTTGATCTGCCAAATAATGACTAATGTAGCATTTCTTTTCAAAGAAAGATCTGCAGAGGTGCTTAAGTGAGGTACAAGGTATTTCAGTAAGGCATTTGATCCTTTTAGATGTAGTTGAGGGGTGTGTTGAGTTATATATTGACTTGAGATATAGTCTGTTAAAGCCTACATAGCCATTTCTCTCCAGAATATCCAGACCTGTAAGCCAGCTAGCTAGCTTTTTACATGGAATTTGTATTAGATCCAGAAGAAATTGTTTATTGAAAAGATATTTGGAATTGTGTTCTTAAATCTCAGACGTATTAAGATGCAGTAAAAAAACATTGTACAACATATTAAAATACAGACACTGTGAAACAGTTGACTACTTTGTTACGGTAATAAATTTTATCATGTGGGAAAGTTAAGGCTGAAATGAGTATAGTGATTACCCTTGGAGATGGCTTAACTAAAGAGTGCTTGTATATGTCCACTTGGTAGCTGTGCAAGATAGATAATTGCAGTACATGTTTGGAAGGTTCTGAAATTCTGAGCAATTTGCTTTTATTCTGTGTGATCTGCTCTGTAATGATAAGGTGTAGTTAAACAGAATGGAGTGCAGTCACCCATTTAAAGGAGAGATAGGAGCCACTATAAATAAAAACATGCTCTGCATATTATCTCTTTTCTTCTGGCTAATCCTTTTTATGCTTTAGAGTCTTTTAGGTAGCTTAATACATAAAACATTGCAGGCATGTTTTTAGTGGCTTGGTGTATTGCACTCTGGTTATGTAAACAGGTTAATGGCACACATCCTTGTCAGTCCACAGCAAGTCTCTCACCAAAACTGTAAGGTTAGCAGTACCAGAGGACGCCAAGGGGATTTTTTTGTCTTTTTAAACAGCCTGTAGGAAGTCCTGATGGTGTATTTATCATCGAAAATGAGTACCAATACATTTCCTGCCATGTCCTCACTGGGATTTGATGATCAGGAGTTGTGCCATTCCCAGCCTAAGTGCAAGTTGGTTCATTTCTGATGCTGTGTCCCACAGCAGACCAGAGCAGGAGAAATGATGCATTCAGTGTTAGTGAGAACTGGACCACTAATATGTACATACACATTTTTAGAAAGTCAAAGATTTTCAAATTGTTAAGGATCTTAGCGATAGGTTTTCTGAGACTGGCAGCTCAATTCCTGAAACAGTAATTGACTTTGGTTTTAACTGACAAATGGAGTTTATTACAGTAGGGACCTACTTAAGGGTTACACGATGAGTTGTGTTATATGGTGTCACTTAGTTGTTAATGTTGATGCTCATGTAACTAGAATTGTGTTCCCCTCCAGATACCTTTACTTTCTTATTTGCATTCACGGCCAGAGAGATGTCATTTTATGCAGGTCTTATTTTGAGCAGGTTACAAGCACACAGTCATCACAAAGAGATGTCTTCTGATAATACCTGCTGATGTTTTTGTCAAAGAATGCACATAAAATAGATTAGTTTACCTGAGTAGAATCTAATCATTGCTCCCAAGGATGTACAATGAGTTTCTTCACTGCTATGGCTGCAAAGAGGATTCTCAAATGCTGTGAGTGCGTACCATCTTTCTAATGCCAAAGGAGGAGCCACATGACTACCAGTTCATTCTGTTGGACTATTTAGATGTTTCCATCCACATCTGGAAATCAGATCGTGTCTGATGTGGTGTGTTGTATTTTCACAGGCTTCTGTAGAAGAAGGATCAGGGGAGTAAAAAAAAAGATACTGACACATGCATAGTATTTTCTTTGATTTGTAAATTTTCTGTGTGAGTTTATAGGCCAGATTTCATTGCATGTTACAGGACTCCTGTCTGAGAATATGATGTCTGAAGTCCTGTAGTTGAAAAGTTTTTTTGTTTTTGTTTTTGTTTTTATTTTACTGATTGTCAGCGGGGAGGGAAATCTGCAATGACAACTCAACAATTTATGGACGTAAGAAAACATGTCCAGAGACAAACTGTACCAAACTCTCATTTTTATATTTATAGAAATTTTGTTGATATTTTTACTCCTAGACACTTTTAGAAAAGTATACTTAAAGGAGTCAGTAATTGCACAAGAACAAGGATGATACTTTGTTGCAAGGTTTTCTGTAGAAATAGATATAGTTAATTACCTTTGTGGACCTAAGTTAGTTTTTAGAAAAGGTAATATTTAATTTCATTTTTTGCTGACATGTTTTTGCCGTTTGTCTGCATTTTTATCTTACTGGATGTTTTTGTGTATTTCAGAGACTATTCATGCTCTACTGCTAGGTAGGCCAGATGCAATGACTGGTTTGAAAATGATTCAGTCATCAGAAGAGTATTTGCAAACCAAATACTTGAGTATATAGAACCACTTTGAAGTTTTCTGTGTATCATCTTCACAGAGAAGATGAAGCCAGATTTGACTTTGAAGGGCACAGCAATTGGGTGAGACTCAAAGCTCTGAGTTGCAACAAACAGAATTTGAATTAGACATTATGGGAAAAAGATAATAAAGATCACGATGATGGTACTCAAACAGAGAAATAGGGACCCAGAGAACCTGGAGACTCTCCATCTTTGGAGCTACATGGAGCTCAAGTCTGTGGAGCACTGAGCCACCTGATCCACAGTGACCCTGTTTTGAGCACGAATTGGGGTCATATGTCCTTCAGACATCCAGCTTAAATCATTCTGATCCATACCCACAGGCTATTTAGAGAGATAATTTCAAAATTGAACAGCATCTCATAGGATATTGGAGTAGTTCAACAGCTCTTAGTCTTAAAATTCCTATTTCTTGGCTTAAAGATGATGGAAATCCTCAAAAATTAGGACAGTTTTCAGTTCAGAATTTTTCTTCTTTTCAATTATAAAAAGGTGATACTTACAGAGCAGTATTTTATAATTATCAGGTGTTTTAACTGATTTGTCAGTGTTTCTTACTTTAAGCACTGTCCTTGAATACAAATCATTACCATCACCAGCAGATAAATCAAATGATTGACAAAAACAGGACGCTTTTGTATGAGGAAGAACTGTTTTCTTAACCTGATTTATTTTTGTAGGAAGGAAAAAAATCCCCAAGAAATTGAACTTGGACTGTAATAATAGACAGTTTTGTCTATTATTATTGTGTAATCTGGTTGGCATAGTAATAAGACCAAGAACTGAACTGAACAAACAAGAAAATATAACTGCACTTTTGTACTATAAGTGTTCAGAGATAACAAGTGAATATAATTGTTCATGGCATATTTCACAAGAAATGACAGCACTACTGAATGTATTTTAGAGTAGCAAATGTATCTGAATGCCAAGGGGGAAGGGATTAAATTCTGTTAGAACTAAAAGATCTTCTATGATTTTTTTTTTCCTGCCATTCTCCAACCTTTAATAGCTACATTTGTTATCTACCCAGTCAGGCATGGTAGAAGGAGGAAACTGAAGATTAAAATTTTTTGGGATGTTCTGCAGAATGTGGTGGTTATTAGGGGTGCTGGAATTCCTGTTAATGCAAAATGTAGAAGTCTATTAGTTCACTTCCTTAAATATGTGTGTGGAATGAGGTAAGTTAGGGGGCAAGAAGTTATAATTACACAGCAGTGGCCTGAATAGGCTGTCAGTTTGTAACTCAAGGACCTACTCTTCAAAACTTCAATGCCTGAAATTTGTCTGGGACACATCAGAGTCAATGATTATCACAACTTAGTTGGAAAAAAAAAGACACCTTTATGTGGAATACACCTTGCTCCAAAAACAGGGACATCTATTTTTTGCAACACCCAGCCCCAAAGATTCAGACTAATGAAAAGGCAGCAGGAAATCAACAAAGTTCTCAGACGTAGAAGTGTAAAGGAACAGAGTCCACTTTGCAAATTTACAGTTATAATCCTTATCCTACTGTCTCTGGTATTGTCTTTGGCCCCTTGAAATAATTTGGTAGTCTAATCAGAACGCAGGAATTTTCTCTATTTGATATTCATTGGCCTATCATTTAAGGGAGACCAATGGACAGAACCAGCTTTAGCCAAGCTGTTTCAAGATGTTAGAGGAATCTGATTTAAAATATTGTTACCATGTAACCTGTTTGCTGCATATATATTATGGTCTTTCAATGCCTAGTGAAACATTTTAGGTTTCCTTTGGTTCCTTACAACAGATTTCAAAAGAAGGCAACTCACAGTCAGTAGCAAGATGTCTTTTCTTCTGATGGCTGCCAGGGCAATCAAATGGAAAGGGATTTAAAAAAAAATAAATGCAAAAGAAGTGGTAGAGTGTCTGATAATTTCAAACAGTATGTGCTGGAATCATTCTGACAATAAGGACTTTTATTGCACCCTCGTCGTGCCTGGGGTTTTAATTTAACACATCAATGGAAAGGCAGTGTTTAAGAAACCACCACCACTACTGAAAACACCAGCAGGACTTGCTTTTATTAGTGCAATTCATAAGAAATTAGAACATTTAATGAGAAAATCATTAACCATGAAAAAAATGGACTGACTTAACTTGGGGAGCTTAAGTAGTGAGGCTTCAATTTAGTTTGTCAGCTACTGGTGAAATAAATAGAGAGTGAGCTGATCACCTCTAGCGCAGTAGGCACTTCAGCACAGTTTCTTGTGCTATAGCTGCTGTTGAGCAGAACCATTTTCAGCCTCCTTTTCTAAAAATTGTCAAAAACTAGTGGGAGAATATCAAACATGCCTTTTTTCACTCTTTTCAGAGATGCTGTCCTTCAGATTCAGTTCAGTTAGGCATTTTATAGAAAACAGTATAACAACCTGTGCTGTGTATGCTCACAGTGAGCAGAGTGGAATACAGTACTTAAACAATGTCTCCTTCTCAATGTGTTTACTTCTCCTTCTCTTCCACCACTCTGGGAGATGATTTTCTCTGTTGATGTATCCTTAGCTGAAATACTTGCAGTGACAACTATGCCCATAACATCTGGACACAGGAAGGGCTGTAGGTCGGGCAAAATGTTCTGCTAATCCAGTAACTGGTTTTTAACAGTACAAGAACAGGACAGGCAGATGCTGTGACTTGTTCAGAATGCTGTCCTGAATTTTCTTCCTCAATGGCAACATCACTGGTAATCTCCATTGATAGAGATCCTCTTTTAAGAGTTATAAGAACTTGGTCCAACATTTTTTTTAAGCTGTTAAAACCCCAAGCATCTGACAGCAGCCTGTGGTGAAGGGGTTAACTGATTTATGTTTAAAGAGATACCTTTTTTTTTTTTTTTTGGTTCTTAACCCAACTATTGGCTCATGTTTCGAGAGAGGCAGGGAACTATCAACTCCCTATTCGTCTTTTTCAGAATGTTTCTGAGTTTATGGATCGCTATTGTATCTTCCTCACACTCGTCATTTCCCAGGCTGAGGTGTCTGCCAGAGGGTAAAATTGGACAGTTCCTCATTTGTAATTAATCATGAAGAAAGTAAAGTACTAAAATCCAGCAGAAATTAGTAGGGCTTGCAGAACTCTTCAGTGACATTTTTACTTAGCTATCTACCTTCTGGGAGCTGAACAGTAGGGATAAAACTGGTGTTCCCCTTCTTTTTAGTACAGGTCTCACTACCTCTGCTTCTTTCTCTCAAGCATGCACAGTTTATAATACTTATCTCTATAATCATAAAGTGTTGCCCTGATGAAAAAATCATTGAACTACCTGTACAGAGACAAGATATACTCTAATGTCAATAAAAATAAGGTAGTCTTTTAACTGCAATCACCCTATAGATGTTGTTTTGACATTATTACACCTTTCTTGTAAATTTAATGCTTTTATTGAAACATGCATCTATTTCAAAGGACTTTAGGATCCTGAATTTTATGGTTTTACTTTTTATCAAACAAGTGAGGCCAGTGCTTTTTTATCTTGGCTTTCAGGGAAAAGACTTTTGTCTTGGACATGCTTGGGGTTGTTCTTCCTGGAATATCTAGCTGTTCCAGGGAGTCTAAAGTAATTTTCAGTAGCTGAGATACCAATAATCAACTTGTGTAGCTTGAAGCATTGTGAGTATGATTAACTATTTAGATATGCATGGACCAGAAAGAAACATGTAAAAGAAAAGTGGGGTTTTTTTTCCTTGAAAGTGTGCATCCTTTGATTGATTTATTTATTTCTCCTTGTCTTCCAGTGAGTCAGCAGTTGATAAACCGCATTGATCAGTTCCTGGAAAATAAAGGTTCACAGTACTACATGAAAGCGATCGATTGTATCAGAGTTTTCAGAGAGGAGGCCATGAAGGTAATGTTAACATGTGAATGCTCGTCTCTTTCAAATTAAAGCCATGATGGGCCTATTTGCTGTATTAGAAACTTGATAATTTATTGCTGCAGCAAAAAGAATTGATTTTTAGATTAAATTATGTTTGAAAATTTAGAAGGAGTTGGATTTTATGGGGGGTTTTATTCTTACTGGAATGGGGACTGGCTTCTCTGGTATTATTTGCTGTTGTTCATTTTCTTTTAAACATAGAACAGAAGGCCTATGACCTGGTGCTGGTATAAGAAAAATAAGCAATCCTACAATTTTCTTTTTCAGTAAAGCTATTTACAAGGAAGTCTTTCTAGCTTTCTGAAGGGCAGTTTTTGTGGCTCACCTTTCCTTAGAACTCATAGTTTTAATAGAGATAAAACCAAATTCTGTAGTGACTTCTGTGTTCACTGTATTAGATGACTCATGAAGAATTAAGTTTGCAGTGCTCTTTAGTAGTTTTAAGTATTTCTTGTTTACTGTTGCTGGTTTTTTTTTTCAGCTGTCCAAGGTGCAGTGCTTTAATGACTTTCTGCAGGCCCTGAAATCAAAGTTGGAAGATAAAGCCTTAGCTGATTTCTGGGAGATCATGATACAAGGTAGGATGGCATTAAAAAAAAAAAACAAAAAAAAAAAAACCCACAACAATTTCTAATTGTTTCATCCATTTATCTGTTATGTAAGAGGAAAACTTTTTTAGCAATGGGACACTTAAATTGCCCCACAGCAGTATTTTGATATGGTTCATTCCTGCAGCCTGTTTAAAAATGTCTAAAAAATCTTTCATGGTGCAGCTTCCCTTTCTTCAGTAATAGTTTCATATCAGCAATATTCACAATGCCTTGCCAAGTCTTGTTGCAATGGTAAATTAATTGTAGAAGAAGAGAGACAAATTAAATGTTACGGGGTAAGGAGAAGGAGACACAATTTCAGCTGAATTTCAGAATAAATGGAAGAAACTCATGCAGCAAAGATCTAAAAAGATTCTTCCAATTTAAGCTTCACGAAGTCATAGATAGCATTGAAATATGTCACTGATCATTTTGTATTTAAGTAACCTAAAGGACAGAAGATGTGGTAATATGACACCTACCTATGATTAAACCAGGAGATACAAGGCAGTGCCATTCTAAAAGACATGCAAAGATTATGCAAGTGATAAATAAAGGAACATTTTCACAAATACAAAACATAGTAGACTAAAAAAATACTCTTTTATGTCATACTCACGTTTTTAATTGGAGCCAATGCTAAGAAAATGTGTTAAATGCCCAGCTATGTCTCTTAAGGGTGCATGGTATAAAATGTGTTTTTGTATAGTACCTTTCAAAGTGATAAACTCCAGGCACACTGTAATGTCTACTTCATCCAACTTTTGCAAAATGCAGGATGGGAATTTGTTTAGTAACCCGAAAAACCAGCACAAGACAACACTGACAAGACAATTCAGTAGTGTTGTAAGAGACCTTCTCTGAAGAAATTGGAAAAAAAAAAAAAACAATAAACTTTGAAAGCAGGAAACTTAGATCTTTCAAAACCATGCCAGAATAATTTTTAGGTAGTACGAATCAGAGTTTTTGATAAACTGGAATATACTTTTGAGGAAAAAAACCCCACCAGACAAACAGACATGATATTTTCATATAAAATATAGTATCTTTTTCTGAGAGCATGGTGAAAATAAATCATGGTGCTTTATGGATAATCTAACTGCTCTCAGTAGGCAGTTGAAATTGTGTTTTGCTTGCTGCTACCAAGAGGAGAAGTCCTGTTTTCCCTGACCTTGCCACATGGCCCATCTCCTCTTTTCTACCAAATGTGGTGTGCACTGGGCCTTGTTGTGAGTGACTGCAGTCACCAAAAGGGGATGGATGTTAAGTTAATGAGTTGGTGGTTCAGGAGCAAGGCAGGTCAGTTTGACAAGTTCACTTGTTTCATGAAACTCTGCCATGGGGGTCTGTGGGCGTTACACTTGTGCTGCTGCTGAACCTTTAGGAGGAATCTGCAGTTCTTTGCTCTCACACCCACAGCTGCTTATTCAGGCACAAGCGTTTGTGTGGCCAAGTGGTGAGGAGATTTTCTGGGGGCAGGGGGACTGGGCAGGTTCAGTGCACAGGATGGAGGTCCTGGCACAACCAAGGAGCCAGGTGGGCCAGGACCAGCACTGTGGTAGTCAAGACTCCAAGTAATCACAGCATAAGTGTCCGTATGCTAGGAGTTAATTTCTTCTAAGGACCTAATAGCATGCTGTGAATGACTGAAAGTGTAATTTCTAATAGATTTTCAGCATTTCATCTGTGATCTATGATTTCAGTGTCTCATTAGTTTGATTGTCATAATATTAGCAGTTTCCTAAATGGATACTTCCACAAGGTTATGAATATGCTCATTAATTTATTTTTATATCGTAGTTTATATCATAGTTGACTCATTTATGCAAGTCACATTTTCCTTTGAGCAATTTTTTTTTTTTTTTTTTTGCTGGTAATGATGACACATTCAGAAGTTGGAATTTGGAACACGTTTTTCATTTGTAACATTAGGTGCATTTTTGGGGAGCCTTCTAATGATATTTTTATATATCTTTTTCATTTTTCAGACAGAATTTCTTTGATCACTAAAGATGAAGCACAGGAAAGTTCGGTGACCGGTGAAGAGGCTGAAAAGGTATCTTTTTTTTAATGAGCATCTGTTTGTATAGAGACCTTGCTGTGGAACAGAAGACTTTCTTACATGGATAAACCTTTAGATGAATGAAACAAGATCAATATGAAGGAATAAGACTGTCCTTTTGCCACACAATTGAAATTGCCCCAATATAAAGCAAAAATAATTCCTTAGCATGTACCATGATGTTTTACTTTAATTGGTCTTTAGAAAGTAGCATGTCTTGACATTATCTGCAAATACCCTCTACAAAGAGTAGAAACTTCACCAACTCAGTGTAGTGCAACAGCAGTATACTATTTACACATACAAGATCGCTATTTGAACTTCATAGAAAGAAATGTCTTCTCACAGGTAGCACGAGCTCAAAAATCAAATACTTTTTATTGCCTAAACGTGTTGGGACCTCCAGCTGTTGAGTTTGCTATGGCTAGTTTTCACAAAATATGCAACGATACCAATATTTTCTACTTTATGCAGCCCTTGTGGTTGATGGATGTCATAGGTGTGATGCTGGTGTTATTCGTGATCATATGAGATCCTTTCGGAAATGAGAGTTTTGGAGTAATTGCACATATAATTCCTACAGATACATAGCACTTCAGTAACTGCAGTGATGAATGAAGGATGTCACAGTTACAAATGTGAATTCTAACGGGCAGAATGGTGCCTTCTGCTTGGAATAAAGCAGAATTCAGAAGTGCTGTCAAAAATTGTATTTGTGTGGAGAGGGTAAGATGGGAATTATTGTATCAGGCTGCTAGTTTGGGAGAAAGAAGGTCCTTGTGTTACAGACCCCCCAAAGGTAAACCTGTGGCTAAAATCACTAAGTATTTTGCAGAGAAGTAGCTTTTATAAAAGATGCCACATTGATTTTTGCAACTTTCAGGCCTTCCATTAGCAATAGTCAGAAGTGTGTAGAAGTAGGTTCTCGATAAATTAGTTAATGAGCAGGAAAAGGTTGTATTTTAGAAACTGCTTTTTTCATCTGTAACAATTTACCTCAAGGTGAAGAAGGCACAGAAATGAAAATGGAAAGCTAACAAACTAGGAGTCCAGAAGGTTGAGCACAAGTGTAGTGTACAAATGGTGATTTTTCTAGATGTGATGGACCTACTGGCTGTTTCTCATTACACATAAATGTACAGAGCAACTTTTTTCCCCAGTGGTGGTTTTAAAGAGTATCAAGGGTTTTTTATTTATTTCAAGTGCTGTGAATTTACTTGGAAACTTCTTAAGACAATGTTCTTCTTGAGAACTTTGCTTTCTAGTCTGAAACTACCATTGATGCTCAAAAAATATGCTAATGCTGTGTGAAATAGCTGTTCCTTAAGGATATCTCTACTAACCATCAAGCCCTTACAGCATTCTGTTATCTTAACTGTGAGCTTGTGGTAGCTAAAAAGTACTATGCCTGCATAGGAGTGCAGCACAAATTATAGAGTACCAAGGACTAATTTGGAGCTGCCAGACTAAGCTGGAGCAAAGTGTAGCAATGAATTTGCCCTATATGGAATGGAAGAAGTCCTACCAGAGATGGGATGGTGAAGGAAAAGAAGAAAACACTTCAAATGTTATAGAAACAGAAGTTTTTAATGTTGTTTAAACAGATCTTAAGATGGCTTTTCTGTATTTTGCAAAGTCTTTCTGTCTCCTTCTTGACACCCCCCTGTAAAGGACCCTTATGCAGGAGTGTTCTGGGCCTTCTCATTGGCCTTTGTTTCACCTCTTTCTATTGGCTGTTAACTCTACCTGATTGGGTTTTTCTGTAGTATCTTGACCTTGTCATTGGTCCCTTCTCAATCCCCCTGAAAGCCATATAAACCCCCACCCCCAGTAAACTCTCTCTTTCGTCCGTCCCTCAGCGTGGTTTGTGTGAGCTGCTTACGGGCTCATCGAGCCACGTGCTTGAGGGGTTGTTTGGGAGAGCATCACACCTCCAGAGAATGGTGTAACAGCCAGGACCTGAAGGTGCCCCCCCCTCCAAATCAGCCGTCGTAGCAAAGCATTTGTAGAGTGACTTCAAATTTACATTTCTGTTTACCATCATCCTACAATCAGCCACATGTTGCAGTAGAGGAAACTATTTTGTGATTGATTGAAGGTCATACAATCTCCGTATCTTCCCATTAAACTGGGGGAAATGAGAGAGTGCAAGAAATCAGCGCTGCAGCAGAGTTCTCTAACGTGGCAGTTACCTTAAATTCCAGAGTAATTGGGTTGCATCTCTTTGCTAACTAGGCAGTTGGCAGTCCTACTTACTCACTAGATAACCAGCTCCCCACACACTGTCCAAATACAAAACCAGAACCCTTATTTGCCATTGTTCATCAAGGGCTCATATGACTTTTTACTTAAACTGTAAGACTGCATATTCTTGGAGTAAGATCTTCAGGGATAGAAAATTTTATCTTGAGGTTATGGTGCTGGTCTAAAATCTAGTCCTGTTTGGTCCAGTTAAACCCAGTCACAGGTTTCCTGTGTGATACAAAGTCAGCATTTTCGTAGGTCTATAGCAGATTGCAGAAGTGGTTCATTTGTTTTCTGTACTGAACACAATATCTGTCACTAAAAGATTATATTGGAGTTTTCAAATATCCCTCAATAGGGTAAGAAGCAAGTTTTCTTCACCTCTGTAATAGATCATGTGCAAGCCTGTAGGTCACAGGCATGGCTGTTAGTGTGGTCCTGTGTGACACAAAAGCCTTTTCTCTTACGTCCTGGTTCCTACATGATAGTAGTTTCAGGACTGTTTTGGCTATAAGATTTCAGGTTTTATAGGGTTGCTGTCTGCAGGAGAAAGGAAGGCTGCTTATTAGAGAGGTTACAGGTAAAATTTCCTTTTTCTTTTTTACTTGAGGTAGCAATAGCCAAAAGTGAGTGGAAGTAGGTTCTCCACAAGTTAGTTAATGAGCAGGAAAAGATTGTATTTTAGAAACTGCTTTTTTCATCTATAACAAGGTAGGTTATCCATGCATGTTTTCCTATCACTGAGAAAATGATTTTAGATAGTTTTGTTGGGGTTTGCTTTTTTCATAATAGTGGATGTACTCATTTTATAGCATGAGGATGATAGGTTAAAAGAGCAGAAATGTCAAGTGCTTTTTCTGGTTACTTTGAGGAAGATAATGGATTTCAGCACAGCTATTATATGTAATTTCCTTTTGCATAAATGTAAAACAGGCTTTTGGAAAAAACCCCAGCTTTCAATATTCAGCGTTTGATGGAAATTTCAGGTTTCAATTTATTGCAAATCTTCATCGTACATTTCTCTAGCTTTTAGCTTTCTTTACCTAATTTAGTGTGAGAAAGCTAATTTTGAAAACTTTGAAAAATGTGCTGCTTTCAGAAATGCCATTTGACTCCTAATTAAGTGTGTAAAGATGAAATTTGATCTGGCACAAAAAGCCTTTCAGAACTGACAATGTCATTAGCTTTTAGTTTCATAGTATGTGCTTTATATTACTACTAGATTAGTAGATTAAGAACTCTTCCAACAAAAAGGATACACAGACATATAACATCTTGAAATTCTAATTCCTTCTGTCCTTGTCACATTCTGTTTTTTCAGTTACAAAATGTGTATGATAAGTTGAACTGAGCATGTTAAAACGTGTGTTGTCTGAAGTGAGCTGTCTACATTCCTCTTGATGTTGCTGTTTAGGATATAGGAAAGGTCTGACCTTTGGGTTCTGAGACAAATAGGCAGAGGTTGTCTACATCCTCTGTCTTTGGTGTTAACCAAATGTAATGTATTTGCTTTTCATCCTAGTGCATATGATAGCTGGTTCTTTCCCACAAGTGGGATGCAACAGGTAACGTCAGTATTTTATCCCGTGTCTAAAGCTGTCCCTAGTCCTCTACAGAAGGATCAGAATACTTTATTTGTTTAAAATAGTGTTTAAGCTTTTCACAGTTCAGGTACATTGTCTCAGAGATTGGTGGTGCTGGTAGGGATCCCATGGCCTCTTACACAGCCTCCATGGCTGTTACAGTTCAGGTCCTCAGCTGAACAGCAGTTTGCTTTCAGATGCCATCTGTTTGCACAAAAGAGTTGCATTAACTCTGAGCAGGTATTTGTAACCTGTTTAATGTGGTTATTTTCTAATTAGCTGTTCTCTTCCATCATCTAGAGTTACAGTGAAGTTCTTTCTGACTTAAGGATGATGGAACTCAAAGTCACGGAATGTGGCTTTTCTACCTCCTTGGCTTTGCATCCATCTTTTGTCTGGGGCAGGGTTGTTCCTGGCTCTGTGTGTTTGTTCTGGTGCATTTTAATACAGAAAAAAAATTATATTAAGGATATTGGTAAAAAGATTGTAACTAAACCTTGTAGACAACTGGATGCTTTTTTAAGTAAGAGTCAAGTATTGGTATTTTTTTCTACCATTCTAGCTAATTTTTTATTTTAGGCTAAGAGAAAAATAATTCAGAGGTAGCAGTACTTCAGGTATTGTCTATATGTTTGATTTCAGTTGTTGTAGTGTCTGAGTAACTTACCTTTCTCTTCTGTTTATAAATGTCATGCTTTAAGTAAAGGGCACATGGTGAGTTGTATCAGCAGCTACAGCAATAGTTTTACGTAATGAATTTTCTAATTTTAAAGACTGGCATTCTTGCATGTTTGAGGGTGGGTTGTTTTTTTCTTTTTAATTCATGTCTTTGCTCATTTGTTAAATGTTAATTGAATTAAGTGGGGAAACTTCTACACAGAACTAGTTCCGTGTTCTACACAGAACTGGAACGTTGTATGTAGGAAATGTCTTAAGTCATCGGTCAGCTCGTGTATGTATTTATATCAGTGGGGGCCAGTTTGTTATCTTTGAGTATTTTGTAGCTACATACAATATTACTTTTTAAAATTACATTTTTTTAAAGTTTAAAGTTATATTTTTTTAGAGCATAAACATGGCCAAACAGTAGTGGACAAAATTTCCATCTAACCCAGAATCCCATGTTTGCCAGAGGACAAAAAGGGATGGCTAGGAGAAAATGTACAATCCCAGGCTCCAGCCACTGATGTCTCAAGAACTTTTGTGCTTGAGGTTGTTTCTGTGAGCTTAGTAGATTTCAAATTATTTTTATTCTATGAAGTTTCTCCAACTCCCCCTGAGACTAGGGACTAATATTTGCAGAATCCTTATTGTAGCCTTAACCATGTGTTATCTGAAGAACCATATCCATTTGTCTAGATCTTGACACATTTCACCATAAAACCCTTTAAAAGCAATTTTATGAAATTTCTTGTAGTTGAAGATGATTTTGGAGAGTGGAAAAAAACTCTCTTTGTGATTTTTAATTTCAGGTGGATTTGTTTTGATACACAGATGAGACATTCTGTTAATTTAAACTTAAATGCTCTCAGCTTTGTCAGTATCACATAAATACATTTGTATTTTCAGTTCTTGGCTCCAAAAGAAATTAAAAATGAAACTCTGCCTCCTGCAGATGAAGGTGGCGATGTTGATGATTTGGTGAGTACCGTAAAGATATGATGTGGCTTTAGAGTTAAACTGTAACTGAAAGGTGCAAGGAGAGAGCACGAGTACTTCTTAAAGCAATAGATTAGAGTGCATGGCTTAAAAAACAGTAAAGGAATTGAATCAGAAAAGAGCCACATGAAATTACTTATTTGCTATTGTAAAATTTAACCAGGTGTGTAATTTCATGATGGCAAATACTATGTTACTACATAACATAGGTGTTTACGTAGGCAAAATGCGTGCTCTGGTGTGTTTCAAAACAGCCAGTGAGGCTGCTCATTTGATAGTGGATTGTAATAATTTACTATAATAGCATTTAACAAAGCTTGTATTTCTTGATCAGCTATTTGTGTGTGTTGAAAACTAAAAATTGTTTATGAAAAGATGTTTCAATTCTCTCAATTAAACTTCTCTGTATAGACTTACTGAAATTCAAGGATTTCAAGAGGTTTTATAATAAATATTTTAGCCATCTTTTACAGGCTGGATCTGTTTGACTCCAAAGCTTAAGCTGATGGTGTAGATGGTTTTAAAGAAGCTTCAATAACAGACAGATTTCTACTTTTGGATTGTACTTTTTAATATTTATAAGTTGTACATAAGTTTATCAGAAGATGAAATTTTTAGGTTTGCTTTTGTACTTTACAGAAGCTTAGTAATAAGCTCTGTGCAATCCATTTATGTTACATGATTTCCAAATTTGCTGTGTATTCTAAGCACTAAACACATGTAAGACATAACTTGAATCCATTGTGGCTCCCTTCAAATCTGTTTCTTCTGTTTGCAGCTGGACATGATGTGACTGGGTGATACATGGGAACTATACAAGCAAAGTTTTGGAAGAGATCTCCCTGTGAGATGGGGCACAAAAAAAGATGCTAATGAGAAGATAGTACTTCCATCTTTATTCTCTCAAATGAGAGCAGAAATCCCAGAAACACTTCTAGTTGGTATAAATGTCATCTGACTTTTCAAAACTAGAACAGAAGACTGAAATTATTTGAAGTATTTTGGAAGTAATAATAGCTTTAAGGCATCTTTTATTTTTTTTTTTTTTTCCTTTAAAACACTGGATCTAGCTTGTCCTTGGTATTGCTTTCAGCTAAACACTACCAAATTTAATGAGAATCTGTTCTGTTGCCTTAAGTTCTTGTTACATTGCCTGGGAAGGAAGACAGAAATGTCACAGTGAGGTTACCAGGTCATACTGAATCTTTAGTGGAGGTAATCCCTTAGCATTATTGTTACAGAAAGGAGAAAGTTACTATTTTCGTGCTTTGAAAGAAACCCCAACCAACCAACCCAAAACAAAAACAAATGAACAAAAAACAAATAAGAGAGAGGAGGGAAAAAACACCTGTGACAGCTGATAATAGTTAACACTGGTAACCAGGAGAGCAATCCAAAGTAGTCAAATACTGCTTAGAAAGAGATACTCAAATTTGATTACAGATGGGAGAGACAGTAATGACACATTCATACATGCTTGTTTGTTACAACCAGATTAATTCCATTATAATAAATGTGTAAAGATACTGTGAAAAATGGTATTAAGATCATAAAAAAAGGACAAAAAATCATGACCTGTAATTACAAAATGTGGAATATCTGCACTTCATACTGACCAACAGCTTCCCTGTGGGAAACAGCAATTGCTTTTTGCCTCTACTTCCCTTGACAGCAACCTGCTCTCCCTTCTCTGGCATCCTGTCCCAGGTGAGTTCATTGAAAGGGTTTCTCAAATGCAGATGGCAGGGAGTAAGTGATCTTTGTAGACCTTTATAGCATTTTATATTTCTCAACTGTAAATAAGAAATATTTGATCAGTGTTTTGATTGTCTTCTAAGGCCAATTTATGGAGTACAGCATGGACTGGTTTGTTTGGGGGTTTTTTTACACTTCATTTTTGTTTGTTTGTTTGTTTAATAAAAATACTTTTAAAATTGTTTCTTGTTGTCTTCAGAATCATGTTTGCTAAAATCAGGTGACCAGCTATTAAGTACTAAGAGAAACAATCTAAAGCCCCTGTTCTGGGCCTACATTGTGAACACTTAATATCAAAATTCCTCTACAGAAGCAGAGTGTAATTACTTATGCTGTTCTTTACAAACTGTTAAATTTCACAACAAGCCAATAAAATCATTTTTACCATATTGTAGAGATGATGAAAAAATCCTGGTCAAGACCTCAGATGAGATAGAATTACTTTGCAAATCAAAATAAGGATTAGGACTTTCTGATTCTTTTGCACCAATTGACCACATTTCTAGAGTGTTTTGCTTCTGGCAAGCAGTAGACATTTAGTTCATGGAGCAGTGCTGCATAGGTCTTATTGCTGCCTGTACGGCACGGTATGTACAGGTAGGCTCAGTGTGCTAATTGAGTTGATAGTACTGAAGAGAAGGATGTGAATTTATGACTCAAAACAAGTGAAAGCAAATTCTTAAAAGACAAGTAAAGTGTCTTTGATTCTGCCCAGCCTTCTGAGTATCAGTTATGAGAAGCTTCTGATCTGTCTTACTTAGGTCTATCAAATAGCAGCCCGATTTTACATTTGTTCTTTGGCAAAGGGCCAGCTTTCAGGTTCTTATTCAGTGACTGGAAGAGATCTTACACTTAGATTAAGCTTATTTTTCAGTTATAAAGTCTGACTTACTGTTTAGTAGTAGGTCTGACTTACTGTTTCCATTGAGAATACTCATCTTGAATTGCAGTACTGGCCAGTCTTCAGAAGCACTAGAGCAGTTAGTTGTCCACTTCAAAAGCAAACATACAGGAAACATCACACAACTTTTTCTTGCAAGCAGGAGAGCATCCCTTATCCTGTACTTAATAGAAATTGTCAAAGTGTTTAAAAAAAAAAGACTGGCTGTGATTTCTTTATATGTTACTGATTTATTTTCTCTTTTCCCCTGTAAGTAAGGCCTCTCTGGAAAGCTCTTGGTGCTACTGACATGGGGCAGTAACCTTGGTTAGGAAAAACCCCTCTTGTTTGCCGAAAGATCAAACTTATGATTGTTGTGTCCTTCTGTTAATCTACTGCTCTGATCTCTCTTTTGCTCTTTGGGCAGAATCAGCTTTGATGGAGGGGCAGTGATTTCAGCATTATGTTTTAAAAGTTTTTTGTGAAAGTTGATGCTGGGAAGAGGTGAAAGAGAAAGAAATAAAGAGTTCAGCCTTTTTTCCTCTTCTTTGGCTGGCCCAGTAGCTGAGCATACCAGCCAACAGCCTAATTGTCGTGTTGCATCAGCTCTATCATGTGTTGCCTAGTCTGCAGGTCCTCTTCCTTCTTCTCTTCCTTAATTAGGTGTGTGGACCAAAAACCCAATATTTTGCAGTGTGGACTTTGGGAGGTGGAAAGTATCCAGATATACCAGGAAGTGTAATTAATATGTGAGGGAGGTGGGATCATAGCATGAAACTCTGAATACTCCACAGAAAGGACAAAATACTGGTTTTGGGAGTCACAGAGGAAGAATCAGGCTCTTCTGGTGACAATGTATCATGAATTTGAAGTATCCAGGCCATATCAGTTCTGCAAATGAAGGTGGTTGCCCTGTCACTGAGTAGTGGGGTCTACTGACTCTAACACAGTTCTCAAGTTTGGTTTCATTCATTTTTGTATTCAAAAACCCAATCTGTGCTCTTGGACAGTTGTAAAAATGCCACAGAAGTAGCGGAAAATAACTTCCAAAACATTACATAGTTGAACACTTGTGATTTGTGTGATACTAATCAGCTTGAAATGAATGTCAGATCAACAGTATGGTGGCAACAGGTTTGGAGAGTTCTGGAAGTAAAGCTTCATCTCTGTCCTTAGAATGTGGCATAGAAGTATTGCACATACCATCAAAACACTTCAATGCAAGTAGATCTGTTCTGCTGCACTGTGGTCTCTTAGTGGCCAGGGTAGATTTTCATCTTCTTATCTTCCCTGATGTTTTGGTTTTGACAGAATTATCTGTCTGATGTTGGAGAAGGGTCTTTGGAATTAGAAAATGAGGAAGGACGATCATTTATGTGTGGAAGAGTGGAGAATCTATTTCAGTTGTGAATTCTACAAATGGGGCCATCTTTATATTCTGCATTTGAACATGACAGAAGGTAAAGGAGGAGTTCCCTTGTGATCTCATGTGGGTTGGCGATAATCTGGAAAGAAGAGTTTTGGCTTGTATTTTGTTAAACTGACAAATACATTGATAGATGTTCTCGCTGTGCTTGTAAGGAACAGAGTGGTTTTAGGTTTGTTCCACCTTGTGAAATAAGCAGTTGACTTCAGCTGTTGGTTTGTGACAGAGGAAAATTCATTTCCACCCAAACTTTAGCTTTGTTTCATTTTCCTTTCTATCTTCATTCTTCTCTTGCTGCCAGGACAGTAATGGAGCAGAGATGTAGAAAGCCTCTGAGGTTTCTTGTCCCTCTTTTAAGATGCAGGTTACAAAGATTATTTAAAAAGCAAAATGTTCCTAATACTAGCACAGGACTGGATGCCCACCCACGCTTGTATTTCTAAATGCTTTGAAGAACTACTGCATAAAAAGAACAGTTCTCTCTGTAAGCTCCACCGCTTAAAGGTGCTGGGAAATGAAGGCAGCATTTTCTGCAACAGATGACTTGTCTTTCTGGGTGTTGGAGTTTATGGATGTAACATGTATGTGCACTGTTCTGAAGGCAGCTTTGGGAGAAGTTCTGCGTCAGTTTGGACTCTTCTTTTCTTGCGATTACTGAACCTGAAAGTTTTAGAGGAAGGGATTACCGTGTAGTAAAGAAAATAAAGGAAACTAGAATAGTTTTCTTTTGTAATACAGTCATAATCTGATATGGAGAACTAAAATAGATACATTAAGACAAGGCTGTGATTTTTAGCCTCTCTTACTTTTCTCAAAGGATGAAAAAACACATTGAACTCTCCATAAAAGTTTGGAATAGAGGCAGAGATACTTTTTTCTATACAAGAAAATTACTTGGAAAACATTTGAACATAGCTTAGCTTAAAGTTTAATAATATTTTTCCATGCAGCAAGTTTTGATTAAGTAGAAGGATTAGTATGTCCCTCTAACCTTCCCATTTTAGTGTTTTGGAATAGTACTTGCATTCATGAAAATAAAAGAACTAAACACAAACTAGAAAACCTGTCCCTTCTTCTAGTTTTTATGGGCGAGGCATAACCTTAGTGCATCTGTGAGCTGAGCACCTTACGATGTAACCTTCACTCATCTGGCTTTCTCTGCACAGATTTATTGTACTTCAGTGACTCAAGTTGGACAGAAATTAATCTGCTGTTTCTTCCCAATAACTTTGTGAAGCCAGCATGACTAAGACATAGTAAAATGAATTTTATGCTTTCTGATGCCTCACCAATGCAAGTCTCAACTGTTGACCATCAAAACAACCTCTTATCAGCAACCTGAAGTACTCACAGTACTTTTTGCTGTAACCAAATAATGAATTATTTCACACCACTAAAAAGTACTCAAACTCATATAGATATATTTATTTACTGGTGTACTAATTTTTAGGACCCCTCTATGCATCAGGTCAACTGTATGCACTCCTATGAGAGTTTGGGAAGTCTTTGATGGAATGAGTAGGCTGACCATAGAAATGTATTTACTGTTGCTTTAAATGTATCAAACCAAAGGATTGTTTTTCTTCACAATCTTACTGAGTTCCAACTCTGTCTCATCCTTTCTTCCTATTTTAATGTGCAATAATAGGCAGTAATAACTGTCATTTTCTTTTCCTCCAGAAGGGAGTGAATCTTGCAGCTTTCAAGATATTAACAGAAAACAGAAATGCCTCCAATGTAGGGTATAACTAGAAACATTTTCTATCTGCTGTCTGAGACAATGCATAAAGGGAGAACAAGCCCCTGAGGAGACCAGCTGTGGTGCAGATATTTTTGCCTGAAGCATGTGGATCAGACATAATGCTAGGTAAAGGAAGGTAAAATAGCTGTTAGTACCTGATTATGGGAGTTTTATGTAGCTTGGATGTATGAGAATTCCTTCTCCAGCCTGCTAATGCAAGTAGTCAAATGATAAAGGTTCTCTCCCCATGGAGTCAGTGCATCCACAATGTGAAGAAATAGCCCCCTGTACTCTGTGACTTTTCACTAGAGTTACAGGAGCTGTATCAGAATCTTTAGGGACCCTTTTCTTACGAAAAGAGGAGGGGGTAGCGGGGAGAGAATTTTTTTCCTTTGGTCCCAAGCAGGGCAGCACAGAAGGCCCTGGTCTGAATGCACTTTTGCTGGCTAGCAAACATGAAAAACTTGAGGACACCTGCCCTTGCAGGGACCATATGCATAGCTAAGCTGGTTGGGTTTGCTGCACGTTGTTTGTAAGGGGCCTGTGGCTCTATCAAAAGGAATGATTTGAAAATTTGTGAGATGTGGTGGCCAGGCTTTTTGGGAGATTAGGAAGGTAGTTTAGATGAGGAGTGTTCTATAACAGGTAGAATCCTTAGTGAGGTAGATCAACCTGTAAGTAAAACAGAAATAAGCTGTGTGCCCTGTAGCTCCATTAAATTTTTTTAATTGTCTTATTTTCTAAGAATGTAAGAGAGCTAATCTGGTTCACTAGTGGAGGACAGCAACATTAGAGTTTTACTCCTAGTTCTGCAGAAGACTCATCTGGGACCACTTAATCTCTCTGCCTCTTGGTTATCCTCCCTTTGCAATTGGGGAAAGTTGTTTACTTTTGGTGTCTCGCAGGGAAGGCAGTTGAAAGACTTTTAAAGGGACTTCAGTTGGATGAGACTTCATATAGAGAGGGTATGTCAGTGCAAAAGTTTTATGGCAAAAGATTTGGGAGGTGGGAGTAAATGAAGAAAATAGCAAGTTATTGTGGCGCTCCCTGGGACATGAGGAGAACATGATCATTAGTCTTGAGGAGAAGTGGAGCAGCGGGAATTCCACAGGCAGCAGGAATATGTGAGAGGCAGACATTAAACAGACAAAGATCGAGAGATTCTGGAAGAATGAAGGATCAGTTATTCCACTTAATGACTTTGAAAGGCAAGGAGAGGAAACAGATGAGGTTTCAAAGCTTATTATTAAAAAGAACAGCCTTTCTATATCTCTTCCACAGTCCAGAAAGAAGGAGCTGTTTTACATAATGAACATTTACTTAACAGTTCTCCCAGACACACACACACTGACCTATTTAAAAATGCAAATGGTCACAAAGTTCCCTTCGGGCAGCAGTGACAAAATCAATGTGGAAGGAATAGGGTTAGTCTGGCAAGACAATACTAAATTGGATTGCAGCTTGTCCGTAAGAGATTTTTCCGCAGTCCTCAGGAAATGGGAGCTTTAGCATTTGAATGACTCACAGCTCAAGGTCTACACATGAGATTGTGTATAATCCCCCTTAACTTAAAGCTGACGATGACTCAGAAGTAAGAACTGTGATGAAACAGAGGGCATGTGAAAAAGAACAAACAATGAGGAGAGAAAAACCTTTCGCTACCAACAGTTCACTGTAACTTGAAACACAAGAACAACACATACCCAAGGGGACCACTGGAAATCAAGGGAACATAAAATTAAGCAAATATTTTCAGAGCCAGTGTGTGCTGGAAGGCAGGACCAGCTTTACCTTCCGGACAATCTAGTTCTTCACAGAAAAGATGTGAGCAGTTTCAGAGATTTAGTGTGGGATAAAGAGAATTGAAAGACAAATCACAGCTACATGGAGAAATATATGTTAGGTATTCAAAGCAAATTGTTTCAGTTTAACTGCTAGAGTTTTTGTGCAGGAATTTCCTTGTGATGGAATCTGGCCTTTAGGTTGCCAGTATTTGGTCTTGAAAAATTACTCTGGGCCAGGCTGTAAATGGTTTGAGAGTGGTACCAAAACTTCTTCTACAGGATGAATGAAACTGAAGAAAATACTGAAGCTTCTGTGATTCACTCAGTAGCTGCAGAGTGACCAGAATTGTTGGGATGAGGTTCTTTATTTTGTTTGGCTTTAAGTCATAGAATAGTTTCAGTTGAAGTGGCCTTTAAAGGCCACTTAGTTGAAGCACTCTGCCATGTTTCTTTAAAGAAACCCCACCTTCCAAATCCTAGAAGAGCAAATGCATCTGAAGATAACTTACCCGTGTCTGTAGCCTTCATTGTACAAAGATTTCCTGAAATCTCTGGGGATTTCCTGTGTGCTCTCAGAGACAGCACAAAACCAGCCAGTGGGGCAGAAGTTGATGTCGTCGTTGTACCACAGTTTTCCTCTGGATAGCAATGATTGCACACAGGATACTGAGGCAAGATCACCAGGCATGCCAAGAACTAGCAGCCTGGTGGCTCAGGTTCTAAAGAGCTCTGGCAATAGAGTGCAGGGAAGCTTGCATGACTGCTGTGAATGCTGTTCCTCTATGCTCTTTTGGGGATTTGTTTGGTACCCAAAAAACCAGACATGTCTGTAGAGCACGAATTGCTCCCTGCATGAATTAAAGGCATCAAGGGAACTGAGAGAGGAGAAGGGAAAGATAACTCAAAATATACATACACAGTTTGGGATTAGATAGCAACTGAAAAAAAGTAGTGCTTCAAGACAAGGAGGGAGGAAATTGAATAGATGAGGGGATATCATTTAGTATGAGAAGTGAGCAAATCACGTCAAGCACATTCCCTTAGGATTCATTCAAACTGACACACCCAGGTCCTAAGGAGCAGCACAGTACTGCAGAAAGGAAAAAAAAAGTTCTTTCTTGGACTTTCTGTGGCTTTTGGGATTTAGTTGTGTGTCATCAGCTCAAAATGCTATTTGATAATAGAGAGTTCTTGTAGCTTCTATGCATGGAGCTTGTCCATATTTGTAGTGTATAAACCGGTCTGTATTAATGCCCATTAGCTGTTTGTAGATAACACCCAGGTGTCTTAGAGCTGCAGTTCCTTAATGGAATGCTTTTAACAATGATTACCCAGACTTGCATTGCTTGCTGAGGGCATTAAAAAAAAAAAAAATCACAACATAGGGCTATAGAATTTCTCTAATACACCAGACTTTTCATAGGCAGTCATGCATTCCATACTAGACAATTCCATTCTCTTGTATTCTTTCAGTGGGCTAATTGAAGCCAAATTTGTCACTTTTGCCAGCATTCCTGTAGAGGCCTTGAAAGGTGCATGTATGGGAATCCAGGGTGGGGTATCATGGTTATCCTGCCTGCCTGCCTGTGCAGCCATCCTTGGGAAGCTGCACCTGCAGCAAAACAAGACTAACATATAGAAAAAGGTTTATCAAAATGATGACGTAAACAGCCTTCACTCCCTGTGCAGTTGTTTTTTCTGAGTTCAATATGGTGGGAACTTTTTGGTAACCCAGAGTCAGGCTCTCACTTTCTTCATTTCCTTTGGGAAAGGTTGCTTCTATGGTGGTGATGTCTGTGAATGTGTCAACACATGTGCACAAGTGACAGATATTCCTATACAAGCCCACAGTTTCATAGCAGTACAGGACAAACACTGGCATCCTCTGAATTAATTTTTAAAATATGAAATAATGGGTTATGGTCTTCTCCTGTCTTTGCATGCTGTTTTAATTTGGAGCAAGAAGAAGTTAGTGCTTTATGAGGTGCCAGAGGCTGTGTGTGTGTGATTTATATTTTTTTACCAGTGCTCTGAGATCATTAACAGGCTCATTTGCTGACCAGCTGACTGTTAACACCCTGGGATGAAAGGTATATTTTATATTTATTGTCAGAACTTGGGGATAGTCTCACTTA